CTAAATTGGTTCTGGTCTGGGTATTCTGAGTGTCACTGCGTCTGGGGCAAGCCCTCCACCAGTGATACGCCTTCACGGGCATCTCTGGCGGACACTACACCCGAAGTGAATTCCGCTGCCCTCGTATTCATAGTACAGGGACTTCCCTAGTCTGAGACCAAGTTAATGTAGTAGTTGTTAGGAATATTACTATTACATTACACATATTATTATAGTTATTCTTAACTTTTACTATTGGCACAATACATCTCGTTCTGTTTCGTTTTCCTCTACCTAGTGGGTACAGTAGGATTTTCAAGTACTTACACACATCAAAAAAAGTTTGCGATCACTTCGAAAAACTGAATTTTTTTTTGTTACTGTAGATTATATTATGATTTTTTCTTCTTTTTAGATTCTTTATTTAAAAATAAATTAGAACATAAAACAATGACCCCGTTCAATTGTTTTTTCATATAAAAAGGCTTTCAGTCCTAGCTTACGCTCATTCAGAAATCTGATTTAGTCAATTATAAGCGATTCAAGATATTTTTCGCGGAAAGTTGTGATTGAAAAAATGCCAAGAGGTTTTACGAGCTAGAATAGTAACTTTGAGGGAAGAAGGATACACCACGAGAGTAATAGCACGCAGACTTGCTATATCCCAATCCTGTGTCGTGGCTACGTTGCAGAGGTATCACGGAATGGGGAATTTAGCTGACCGACCCCGCAGCGGTCGCCCAACTGTTTTGACAGCTGCCCAAAAGCGCTATATTAGATTGCTGGCAGCCCGTGATCCAACAATCAACGCCACTAAAATAAAAGCAGAAGTCAGGGCCGCCTCTGGGCTTGAAGTTAGCACGCAGACCGTTCGCAATTGCTTGCACCAGGCTGGATTACGAGCACGGAGGTCTTGGCGAGCTCCGCTCAATTCCCGGCAACGTCAACAACGAAGATTGCAGTGGGCTAGACTTCGGCAAAATGAAGAAGGTGAGGACGAAAACATTTGGCAAAACTGTCTCTTCGTTGACGAATCCCGAATCAGCACTCATCCAGATAACCGACGTGTCCGTGTCTGGAGAAGACCAGGCGACCGTGAAAGACAAAGAACTGCCACTGGAACAGTTCAGCAAGGCGGAAAATCGGTGTCCTTTTGGGGTGGCATTATGATTGGAGCTAGAACGCCTTTGATCCCGTATCAGGGCTTCATGACAGCAGACATGTACAAAACAGTTGCTATTGATGATATCGTCAGAGCATTCCGAGTAAACCATGGGCACCAATTTGTACTGGTCGATGATAATGCGCCCGCACATCGAGCTCAACGAGTCAATGCTGCTCTTCAAGAATACGATATCACACGATTAGACTGGCCTGCCGGCTCGCCCGACTTAAACCCAATAGAGCACGCGTGGGATGCTCTTAAACGAGCAGTATGGAACCGTGAGCCACGTCCCCAGACAGTTCCAGAGCTCAGGGAAGCCGCTATTGAAGAATGGGATAGGTTACCCCAGGAAATGCTGGATAACTTGATCCTCAGCATGCCCAGGAGGATCTTCGCATGTATTCGAGCCAGGGGAGGAGTTATTTTATATTGAATTCACACCTTTTAATAATAAATTGTTGTTTAAGTTTAATTAAACAGTCTTTTTCTTTCTATGAAATTTCTATCACTATTACATTATGATTAATGGCTCAATTTTTTAAAATAAATAATAAAAAATAATTTTATATTTTAATTTCAAACTGGGTATTCCTATTTAAAGAAAGCATACAACATAGATTTTTTCTTGATAAAGTTAAATTTAAAGAATTATAGGAGCTTATGCTATTGATCGCAAACTTTTTTTGATGTGTGTATGTTCCCTATTAGATGAAGGAGACAACAATCTTAGTTTTAACAAGTACATTTTTAGGTTCATATTCCATTCTCAAGTCTTAACAAAACCTCTAATGTACAGTTGATGCTCTGAGATACCTGACCCCCTAAGCAACTATTTGATTCTGAGTAGACCAGTGTGAAGAAAGTTGTTAAAACAAACTTAGTCTTTAATATGTGATCTGCAAAATACATTTTAATATGACTTATTTATTACATCGTTAATGAATAAGGTTTTAAGAAACTTTTAAGCCAATTTGATTACATAGATACAAATTTCAATGAAGAAAGCTGGAATTCCTCCATACTTTTCTATAAAATGCATAAGAAGGCTCTCAGAAACAAAAGATCGGCTTGGGGGTCGGGTAACTTAGGGCGCCAACTGTACTACCAATTACTAAGTCATGGAACAAAAGTTGTTGTCTAAGACGTTAGTAATCTATCCATGTGAGGTTGTTGGCATTTTAAAAATAACTCTGTATACAGTATGATATAAAATGAAGAGTTCATCATCAATTGTGTAATTTGTGAAAGTGATGTTTAGTTATGTCTGGCATCGGCGTATCTGTGTTTGAACATATTCAAACCAATCAAATGACATATTATTAAAGACTCTTGTATTGACAGGAAATGAAACTATTTTTCCGAATTTAAATCGCGTATATTTGTTTTTTCAAACAAACCGACGTTTCGGGCCCTTTACAGGTCCCATGGTCACGATTGACTGATGTGGTAGTATTCAACCAGTTATGTCTAATATTAATGCAAACCACCCTATTTTTTCACTATAGTTACAATAGGTATTAATTAAATACCTTATTTTTAATTTTACAAAGAAAACATTCCAATTTACGCTACATTAAGTTTTACAAATTATTTTATTGAATGAATTTTTATTAAGTTCAATTTATTAATAATTAATAATAGAAATTAGAATAAATTAAAACTTATTAATTAGTACTGCAGTCTTATGTCTGTTTGAGATTTTTCATTAGAGGAAATACTGGATCCCAAACTGGTGGTGGTGGAGTTGAAGCTGACCTAGTACAAAAGAGTTCGTTTGAAGGCGGAGATTGTCTAACTCCATCCCCAAATTTGTACCCTTTTTTGTGAAAAAAAAAAAGACTAGGCAAGAGCTTCACACTCTAACTACCGCCCTAATGGGTCACGGTCTATCTATACAATATACACCTAGTAGCAGTAGAGCTCCTTGTGAAAGAGTTCATCCAGGTTAGTACTGCCACCTTACCTATTTCTGCCGCCACGTAGTAATGTCTGCTGACATTCCTGCATTCTGGTTTTGAAGGGTAAGGGAGCTGGTGAAATTATGGGCACATGGGACTTGTCAACTTATGTCTTAGGGTGACAGGCGCAGTAGCAGTACCTCAGATCTTTGAGATTTAAAGCTCTGAATGGCACTGCAACTGTTATGGGCAGGCGTGTAGCTTACCATCAAGCGCACAACTTGTTCGTCCCATCACTTGATATTATAAAAAAAACCTTTTCAGTTTAGGTATCACAGACAGCCCACTATGCAGAGTGTGCTTAGAGGGGGAGGAAACGGCTGCGCACCTCCTACTACATTTCTCCAGCGTGGACCACTACAGGGCGAAAAAACCTTGTAGTGGCAAGGTGGCTCCCCGAAGTCTCCAGCAAACCAAGGAGGTTGTTGGAGGTGCTTGGGTGGCATGGAAAAGACCCTGCACCCAACACACGCAAAATAAGTCTAGACGTCGAGTTGCAGACACCAGCCTATTACACCAAGTACCATCAAGACCTTAAACACCATTAATTAGATATTAAGAACAAGACTGCTGCTCGTGGCCACTACGTATATACTTTTGCCTGCTAAAAGCACCTAAAAGTGGTAACACACTTAACTGATAGTATGTTCCTTTGCTGAGCTCCTGTAAGGAGAAGTTTCTGGTCAAAGTCAACAAAGCCCCAATGTGGTTTCTTCTTTTTTAAAATGTTAAAGACCTATAGTTACAATCAATGATTCCACCAACATCCAGTTAAGGACAACATGTTTAGAATTTGACCAGTGAATTTCGGCGATAGAGAATCTCCCAATGTGAGTTACGGATATGCAATGTGGGTTAAAAAAGTTAACATGTCGTTGAAGGTTTTGTAAACTTCCGAAAGGCAATAAACTGATCAGAGAGTCACAAGAGGGTTGAAGAGCCATGGAATTAATTATTTGTTAAGTTGAACTAATAAACATAAGCACTTACTTGCACCGAGGTTTGGAAAACTCAAATTATTTATTCCAAATAGAACTTTAAACCTAAAAAATAACAACCAACCACGTTAAAATATCAAAGAGCAAACAAATAAAATTTAACGAAGAAGAAAGAGAAGAGAAAGCAATTTCATAACGTTATTTGTAAGAGTTTATTTTTTCTTTCATTTCTATGTATAACCACTAACCACACATACAATAACAAACACACATATTATTACGTCTCGCAAAAACTAACTACACTTTATTTTAAAGCACAAAACTTGTTTCCTAAATATTTATCAACTTTTAACATTAAAAATCCTGGAAAATGCACAAAAGAGAAAATCTTTCTGCGCATAAATGCCGCTAGAATAGTGACGTTCTCCTAGATTATTAATGACAATCATTTTTACCAACATCAGCAAATGAAAATCGAAAACTAAAAAATGTATTAACTACTCCACCATTCATAGAATAAAACAAAAAAATCTTAGAAAGCGCAATGACTTCAAACCACGTGGAGCGCCAAGGTCGAATTTATGTTTTCAACTTGTCAAGCGCGGCGTGTGATAAATTAATTCTACGAGCCGTTATCATGGTTGACGTTTTACGACTTTTCACCTTAAATAAAAGGCATAAGGTCGATTTTCATCTGCGCACCCAGCCCACGCATAGTCGCCAACCCAGGCAATATATCTTAGGCCGTGTACTGCCCGTGACAGTTCGTAAACAAACTGGAGCTACCGCAACAATGGGCAAATGACGATTTATAGACTAAAATGCTTTAGAATTGATGAAAATGCAATTACATTAATACATTCCGCCTGTGATCATTACGAAATATCTATCAAATCAGCAAGCGTCACAATAATTGACTACATTATCGACACGAATTAAAATCAAAAGTGTTCTACTCACCAGAAAATACCACGAGATTGTATAATAATGCAGAGTCATCTGTAGTACATCTTGCACATATCGATCACAGTCTTGCAGTTCTCTCAAAACACAAGTAAAAAAAAACGATGAGGTTAGCACCAAAAATCCTTTGAACTACACCTATCTATCACTCGTCACGACTTTTGGTATCAATAAATACAGTTTTTATTGCAAACGGACGCACGTTGTGTAAATCAAATAGAGTGAATAAAATGTTAAGAGGAGTCAAAATAAAAATAGTCTGGCAGACGCTGCGTCGACGGCCGCGCCACTGTCTGTCTGCCGTGCTGTCAATATTCGTCAAAACGAAAATGGCGACACCCTCGACAGAATACGATCAGCAGCGGCAGGCTCGCTACATCTCTCTCTTTCCATTTCAAAGGTGCAACAAGGACGGGTGGCCGACGTGTTGTCTTCAACCCGACTGGACTGATTTGTGATGTCACGCCCAGCGGCGTAACGTTTTGCGTAATTACACGTTCATGATGGCTTGTAAACTGGTTTTAATAACTTTAATTTACGATCGTTTCATACATAAGGTCGTCGGATGAAAGTGCTGGCCATATCGTAGGTTAATTATAGTGCAATGCCGAATTATTTTTGTGTAATACGTCTTTGCGCATGTTAGGCCCGTCCCACCACTCAATATCTGTCGTACGAGAGCGCCTCCTACTTCTTCTTATTTTATTCAGTGCTCTTTTTTCAGATATTCATCTAGACTGCATTAACCCGACTGTGCAGTCGCAATGCAGTTTGATTAATAATGAAGTTAAGCTTAATTTACTGTCAAGTTTCTTTTACTTCGTACGTAGGTGTCTATCTAGAGCCAAATTATATTCAATTGAACTTAATCTAATTTAATTTCACCTTATTACTTCCAATCTCACCTTACTCTGTATTATTTAAGAAATCTTGTAGTGAAAATAATAATTATATTATATATAAATAGTTATAATATATATCTACATATATATATATATATATATAGTTATAATAATTACCTCCACAAACCATTTTTACAACGTGTAAATCGTTGGCGATAAATCAAACAAATTAATGACTAAGTAGAAAAATTATGATTATCCAATTGAGATAAACATCTAACATTAATGTTTGTTACAACATCGTAAAATTTAATGAGCATTGAATTACTAAGTATTATCCTATCAATAAGTGAACACTACTTTTACTTTTCAGTACATTGTAACAAAATTTTACATTCAAAGTTTTTAATTACATGATAAAATAATGGTAAAACTGTAATCATTCCTTAGAAACCGATTAATGAGACATAATTATATCTTTTAATAGATCTTTATCACACCACAATGACAGCTATGTGTCTTATTTGTCATCTATCAGCTGGCCTTCAATGTCAAACGCAAATGCAAACTTTTATTTGCGTTTTAGTGAGGACGCTGTTAGTTTTGTTTTCAACGATGAAGGGGATGTTGATAATTTGATATAGTTTTTAATAATTTGAAAACAAAATGTATCACTATAAACTATAATCGCTAAACTACAAACAATGAGTTATTGAAAAAAATATATTTGAAAACTTACTTTTGATTTGGCCACCCGCAAACTCAGAATCTTAAATTAAAATTGTGTTGTGAAAACACAAAACATCGATTAAATTTTATGCAAATTCGATAATTTTACTGCCAACATAAAAAATATCAACTTTTATTACTCATTGCTATTTTGACAGTAATTTTGTATAGGGGTTGTAAGCACCGCTCTACATGTTTTTCAACCCTGACGTTGGCGAAATCGTCGCGCAAAACGACGGAGCCATAGATACAAAAGTTGAAGTTGAAGTAACCAGCAACTAAAAATCGCGCCTCTAAATTTCTGAAATATATAGCCTGCATCAGAAGTTTCTTTCAATAAAAAAAAATTAAGTTTGGTCCAAAACCTTCAGAATTTAGAATTTATTTAGTTAGTGAACTCAACTCTTACATTCTCATTTTCATTCTAAAAACGATTATAGGTATCGATTTTCCACAAAATGCTTCCGACAGATCATGAAACCTAAAACTGGCAACACTAACTATAAATTTCCGTCGGTTGGTTTTCAAAATTTTTATCATCTGTTTCCCGAACTTGAAATAATCTTTAGCGATTATTTAGTGTGTTTTATTTATTGTTTTATTTATTTTAACAATGGCAGACAAAACACACACGTCGAGAATAACATTGTACAAAAATGCGGGACAAGGAACGACCGTAAGTTTGATAATTCTATTCCTTTGTTCGAAATACAATTTTTTTTATAAATTCCAATAGGATTTTGTTTTTCACGGCTTTGCTTTGTTAATTTCGTATTTTTTATGAGTTTTACGTGGTTAGGTAATTGTCCATGTAGTAAATAGACTGGATTAACTAAGAATATATATGAGATTTTGTTTCATATACCCCCTAACGAAAATATTAATAACTTGAATGTTTTAGATGCTACTTACTTTCTTTTTTTAATATTTTAATAGTGTATAATACTATAAAAAGAAGAAGGATCAAGTTACTTTGATCTCACCTGTAGGGCTAGCACGATAAGGCGCGACTTGCGCGAGAGCGACATTAACTCCAGGAACATTACTCAAAATACCCAGATAGAGAAAAATTGCTTCCTAAATTCATTCAACTGGAAATCGAGCCTGGTACTTCCTCATTGAGTACTCACAGTGCTGACTACTGGGTTACCTTACCAAGTGGTGGTGTCAAACATGAGACCGTAACTTGTCAGTTCTCTTTCTCATATAAGAGCAGACTCTTGTCAGTAGAGTAACTGCTGACAATCTCTGTTCAGTGCTCAACTTTCATTTCCTGATATGACACTCCTTAACTGATCTCAATAACTTTGTTCTTGGTCTTCCTCTGCCTCTCTTTCCTTCTATCATGCATTTCAAACTATTGTGACATTCATGTAACTGACACACCTGTCCATAACAGTTGCAGTGCCACCCTGGCAAAGACACAGGGCACTGCCGCTAATTTCACCAGCAACTCTTGAACAAACACATGTCAAATATTGGGCAGAGAGAGACTAGAGAGTGTAGATTCTGCCACAAGGCGGACGAAACTCCTGCTCATCTTCTCACCCAATGTTATCCCCTGATGGGCGTACAAAGCGCCATACAGGGAAGGCACATGCCACAACCAGAGGACTGTCAGAGCCAGAAAAGTCCTACAGTTCATCAATGCTGTCGGCCTTGGCTTCGAATTGTAATTAGTGGTGGTCACAATAGATCAACTGATGGACGCAGTGATGAGGGTCTACAAATGCCCCGAATGAAGCCAACAATAATAATAATACTCTTCAAAACCAGAATGCACTGGACGAGCTCATTCACAAGCTCAACTGCTACTAAATTATATTACTAGTAAAATTGTTGAAAATCACAGCCCCTAACCATCTTTACTCAAAAGGTTATATACTTGTAAAGGTAACTTGATGACTTTGTGTGCTTAGTGAAGAAGCAGAAGCCAATTTCAATTAGGGGATATTTGGCAGGTTGGGGAGTAAAATGTTAGGTTTCCCTGTTGGCGAAGAGGGCTAAAACTCCGTACTCATATCTAAGGTCTTGTTTCTCACTAAGAGGCGACATGATAGAGTAGATAGAATAATCCACAGCGATTGACATCGTCACCCAAGTGTTACAGGCTTATTAAGAATAAAACAAAACCCATCAGTCTTAAATGAGACCTTAATCATTTGAGACCGATTGCACGTGGCAAAATTTTATTTATTAATTTATTTGATTATAGATGGGCAGCTTTCACTGGTATGTCTACATCACACCGTGTTGAAATTTATATTGTTTGATTTAGTTCACTTTTTTAGCACTAATTCACTCTTTCATTGCCAGTTGTCGAACTTGTTTCTGAAGGCATTACCAGAAACAGCAGAAACAACATCTTCCGGTAGCATGTTCCAATTATGGACCACTCTCTTCACGTCTAGAGTTTGACTGTTAGACTGAATTTTCACCTATATGGTCAGGGTTCTAGTTGCAGTGAAAACCCTAAAAAACTGTGGAAACCCTATGTATAATATACCCAACCCAATAAATATAATAACCCAATATATAATCTTTATATACAGTGGGATGTTTTTTAAATCTTGTTTTTGTTAATGGCTATTACATATAAGTGTCATACTTTGTGTATTATATCATTGTACTTTGTAATTTATTAATTTATGCAGGTAGACAAAACCCATGTTACAATGTTAAGTTACATCTATAAAATAAAGCACAGTTTAAAACTATGCGCACACAACTATTAATGACACAAAAGCTACCTCTTGTATATAAAAATTAAATGAGCAATTTCATTATATTTTTCATATTAGATCATTATATAAAAACATACCCTGTGGTGTTACTATATTTAAATAAAAAAGTATAATACGTGCTAACCATGACTACATACTGTTAAAAGAGGATGACCTAAGTATTTTTCTAAAAAAGTGCGCCTTTAATTTCCATCTCACCAGATGGCAAGTGGATGTAGTAGCAGTAGAGCTTCTTGTGAAAGAGTAAGTCCAGGGAAGTACTGTCACCTTATCTATTTCTACTGCCAAGCAGTAATGTCAGCATTACTGTATTCCGGTTTTGAAGGGTAAGAGTGCTGGTGAAATTACAGGCACATGGGACTTGTCAACTTACGTCTCTAGGTGACGAGGGCAGTAGCAGTGCCCCTCGGATCTTTGCAATTTAAAGCAAATGTATAGGCCTGTAGCTTACCATCGCACGACTTGTTCGTCCCGTCACTTGATGTTATATGAATTGTTCTGAGTAAGACACTCACTGGAGGGACCATAGGTAAAGTGCCTAGGACTGTATGGGACTTGTCAGTAGATGCAGACTGACCTCCAAATTATAATTTATGTTTGTTTTTCTAGGATCTTCGTCGCAAACGTGCGGAACTCAGCGTCGCACTCCGTAAGCAGGCGAGAGATGAACAGCTCCTCAAGCGCAGAGCTCTGTCCCCAGAGGCAGGTGAAGCCGTCACTGAAGACAAAACTTTGTCACCGGCTGAGATTGTTCAAGGTATGTTTGACAATATATATTACACAGGTTGGTGATTCATTATTATTATTATAATATTAGCCTTTATCACTGATACAATTCAATTCAAATGTTACAGTATACTTCGTTATTAGAAAATACAATTCATTATTAAAAAAATATAAAAATATCTTAAACCTAGATTACTACTAAAAATAATAGATAAATAGGCAAATTTAAAATTTAAATTAATACTTAAATAGTTTCAATCTTACAAGCTTTTTTCTCGTCGGGTATATCACATAGATATACATATGTTCAGAGATTACAGTACTTTAAAATGAATACGCTTAGAGACCGCCGAATATTATCTGACCTCATATTTATACATGGTATACTAAATAATACAATAAAATATTGCAATATTCTGAACCAAATAAATATTTACATACCTTATAAATACCCCCGACATAAAATAAGCAAAATATTTAATGTACCACGATGCCGGACTAACTTAGCTCTGCACAGTCCACTACCTAGATTATCCTTTACTTACAACCAAATTAATGTTCGAATAGATATAATAGACATTTTTGATTCTTCCCGTAATGTTTTCAAAAATAACATTCTCTAGTCGTTTCCCCAGTAATTTTATAGGTTCTTTGTTGTTCTTTTTGTTGCTTATTATTATTTTATTACATTAAATGCTGTGTACGTCTGTAATAGGTAGACATATAAGTACAATCCTAATGTAAAGTTACACTGTTATATAAGAGTGTATGTACTACTGTTGATGTACCTTATCTATTAAAACATTTTCCTATAATTAAGTTACGTCCACTTATTCATTATCTTTATGGAGATATAACTGCGTAACAGGCAAGCCGTCATGCTGGTTTTCTTTTTTTTTTAAATCAACTGACGGGAGGAGCAAGTCGTGCGCCTGGTGGTTAGCAACACGCCTATTCATAACAGTTGCAGTGTTACATAAACATTTTAATCGCAAAGATCTAAGGGGCACTGTCGCTGCGCCTGTCACCCTGAGACATAACTTGACAAGTCCCATGTGTCTGTAATTTCACTGGCACCTTTACCGTTCAAAAGTGGAAAGCAGTAATGCTCACATTACTGCTTGGCGGCAGAAATAGGTAAGGTGGCAGTACTTCCCTGGATGAACACTTTTACAAGGAGCTCTACTGCTTCTACTAAAATACTAACGATAGACGACGATCGACGTGTCAATAACTGATTTTGATATTGACATGTCTACACATATCATAGCACTACCAGTGGTTGAAGACCTGCTCTTGGGAAGGGAAGTGCACATTCTTAAGAAATACTGTTTATTGTTCGTTTGTTTAATGCTCGTGTTTGATTTGTCTGAAACTATATGTCGGCCATTCTCACATTCTTTAATTACCGTGTGTAATTAGATCTAATTACCGTTTCAATAAAATATTCGTTTCTTAATAACTGGAAAACTGCTTTGTCTATTCTAATGCCATATATGTATACATATTTTTTTTTATTGTTTGTTCTCTGGCTTAACTATCAATAGATAGTTAAGCCAGAGAACAAATAAGTAATGAGAACGGACACTCTCCGCCCCTCCCTAGCTTTAGATACCGCACCACGCCCCGCACATTGACGGTCAAATTGACAGAACGAGAATAAGGCTGTCGGCGAGCCGTTTTCGCTCTAAGACGGCTTTGATATTTGAATATAGTTTTCATTTTCTCATTACGAAATTTGTACGTTAATATATAACATCATTTCACATTAGTATTTATAAAGGTCGTGAATTGTTCTGTGTATGGCTGTTTACAATCATCTAAACGGGATAAAAAGAGGGCTTTTTTCGTTTTTTGAAAGATGAAACGAAGTAAGTAAAAGACTTATGTCTGAGACTGTTTCAGTTATTGTTTTCTTTAGTGCAGATTAATATATAATACAGATTTATTATATCAATATAATAAGACGCCTTAACTTCGTGAGCTAGAGAAGGGTTCTCGAATTTTCAATTTGTATTGCCGATAAAATATTACGTAGTGATTATACCTAATTATTAACTAGGTACTTAATGATACACTTGGACACTCAATTTCAAATACTTTGGTTATCTTCTTTAAGGGTGCCTGTCCAAAATATAACACATTAAGTGCTTTTAATATATTTTTAAAATAAATCTTCAATATTATTCCAGTTAGTGAATTAATGAAAAATATAATATTATATCGATATAAATACGTAATGAATATGTGTTATTATTAGGATTCTATAATAGAATTACAGATAACAGATTGCTGCTGTGACTACGAAACGTAATAAATAGTACGAACAAATGATGGGTAACCCTGCCACTTCACGCACACATTTGCGCGTGTGCAGATAGCGCCTTGCTGTATGTAGTAAGTAGTAGTAGGTAAATAATTTTTTGACTGTTGTATGGAGGGTCCGGGGTGTGGTTAAGCTTAAAGTTGTTCAATGTTATTGGGTATATTAAGCGAGAAAAAACAATGGCTACGGTAATTAGACTGAGGAAGCTACGATAATTGGTCTGAGAACACCGAATGTGAGAATGGCCGAGGTAGAAACCTAAAATTGGCTTTATTTTTCTTTTCCTGTTTTTATTAAACGTTGCTGCTGCAGCAACAGCTGCTGGTTTTCCATAAATAAATGTATGTGCCAAGTTGTACTCAAATCAGGTAACAAAAACTGGGTCACATTCAATAAACCGGAATCATCCTGGTAGCACAGAAGCGTGCGGAAAAACAAACATGATGAGATCGAAGGATTTTTTTCTGAGTGTTCGATCTTTGTATTAATAATTATAACAAACTAGTGGAGTAATTTCACAAAAATAATTGAATATCAATTTAATAAAAAATTAAAATACAGTGAATAGCGACATCTCTTGCCAGGGCTGGTAGCTGCAAAGGTATCTGACTGGGTGATAAAACTTTCATAGATTTCTTATAGATGGCGCTACGACTAAAAGTCGTTGAAAAACCAAATACAAAGACAACGAGCACATAGAAAAAATCGTGAGCTCCGCTGTTTCGTTCCGTGGTTTAGTTGGTATAGCATCTGGCACGGTATGCTAGAAGACGTCGGTTCGAATCCAACCGGATCGAAGGATTGTTTTCTGAATGTTCGATCTTTGTATTAATAATTAAAACATGATGAGAGTTCCGGGGTATGCAAACCCTGGAGACGAAGCGTGACTGTAACGAAGCGGTAGAGAAGTAAGCGACACGCCTTATTTCCGAAAGGGGTTCTCGCTGTCTACCGGCGCCGCTCTTCTCAAATGAGGTTCGCAAGTGGTGTCGCGTTTTATTATTATTTTTGTAATATCAAGCATTAATAAATCTAGTCTGTTATGATACCTAAGATAAGGGAACTAATACGGCAGTCCAGGTATCTCAAATAAAGGTGAGATATCAGGCGTGAGCTGGGAGTGCACTGGTTGGTCGGCACTACAGTTGGTAAGTATGCACAATGTTTATTACTAACTTAGATACAGTATTTGTTGACTAGACACCCTGAAGATAGAGTATGACGAATCAGTAACCGAATTAGAATGAGATCCGCCACTTGTACTAAAGGTATAAAGGAGCATGAAGCGGTGGCAGAGGAAAGGTTGTAGGGGTGTGTGTGGAGGCCCATCGTAGGGATCAGAGGATCCCACTAGTTCAGATCCAGAGGATCGATATGAGGTCAAGGACCTATTAGGACAATTATAGTAGTCCTATGAAGTAGAACGGAGTTAGAAGTGTACGCGAAGAAAGATACATTATGATTGAATCTTAGGCGTGGCGACAGGTGGGATAACTTTAAATATATTAATATAATAATCCTTTTTCGTTAGCCTTTTCCTTCTTTTATTTCCTTTATAATTTTTTATTTCTTTATATATATTTTTTTCTATCTATCTAATTTATTTGGTAGACGTGCGCGAAGGTCACGGGGAAGGTTTGACACAAAGAAGATTTTGTAAGAAAAGATGTGTGAGAGGCATGCGTGTATGAGAAAGGCGATAACATATCCCTTTAGAAGAGGGAAATTTTCGTCAAATTTTGAATAGGACCACTACTGGAGGAACCCCCTTTCCTATAAAAAAGAATCAACGAAATCGCACAAATATCGGAGTAATCGAGTACCATACATTATTTAAGTGTGCATGCTACATCGTTCTCATACTAGGTTTGTTGTGCAGTGAGGTAGTTAGGATGTCATCTGGTTAGCGACGTGTAGTGAAACAGGAACAATTTTAGTTAGTGCGTTTATTCGTTCATGGCGCAAATAGAAGTAAAGTAATAATGTAAAAAATCTTATGCCTACTCAACATTTCCTTCAATACGCATTCCAGTGACCTTCTAAATGCTACGACACATCGCATCGTCACTTTCCATCAGTTGAGATGGAGGCTCTCATTTTTGTATAAAAGAAAAGAAAAAATAAAATAGACGATTTTTAAAAATTCCTTAGCACAAGCATCGCACTATAAAAAAATGGCGAACACACATACACACGCACGCACGCACGCACGCACGCTCTCGCACATACACACAAACAACCACAAGTTACATCGAAACACACGAGAGAAATAAATGTAGGCCAAACATTATTTATCCGGCCGGGAATTAAGGCCTCTGCGTGGCAGACCAGCATGTTTCTTTCTTCCATTTCAGTTGTTTAAAAAGAACTAATCAGACATTTTGTACATTAAATAAAAATCTTTTTCAATTGGATACGGAATAAAATCTCTTTCCATCGTCTTAAGTGAAATCTCATAAACCAATCAAAATAATTTCAAAATTCATTGTAAAAAGTGTTTTAGATATAAATAAATTTAAAATTATCCATTTCTATAGATTTATATATATTATTATATATTTGTTTAACATCAAATTACAAGTAAAAAAAAATATCTCCACCAAAAATAAATTATCAATTTTGAACCACAGAAATTAACATTATAAAAATCATGGTGACAACTACAGCGTACGAACGCAAGGTGTATGAAGACTTCATATGGTGTTTCACCAAGTGTTTACTCGAACAGGGATTTCAGAACTCTGAAGAGATTGCTGAAGTGGTTCCTCAGCTCGTGGAAGGTACTTAGACTGAAGCGAATGGCGCACTATGGAAATGAGACTTTTGAACCCTTTTAAAAATATTGTTGTAATATGATTTTGAAGTTTCCAGTAGATTACACTTAATTATACAATTTTAATTCTTATATTTTTTCATGTGCATACTACCGATAATAATTGTCGAGAAATTATATTTATTTACTAGGAACTCAGCACTAAAATACCGATAAATTTTTATATTTTGATAAAAATGATTATTAGTTCTTGTTTCGAGTAGATCAGGGGGTCTATTTTCTTTTTTCGTCCGACGTCCGTCCGAAAGTATGGGCTCATTCAGAACACAGGCGCGGACGCGGCGTTTGGCCTTCCCTTTCACAATGCCGAAGCGGCTACGAGTGGCGCGCGCGGCCACTGAACGCAATGAACTTCTACGTACTTTATGTGATTTTTACTGAAAAGCAACAGCGTTTACAATATCATAAATATACAAAGTAAACCTTAAAATAGTACAGCCAATCACAGGTTTTGTAGAATAAAATTTAGTATTATAATAACACCATAAAAGCATCAGCCAGCCAGCCAGTAGAGCAGTGGTGTGCGTACAAATGCGTCAATTGAAAAAAAAATTTATGTAGCACGAAAGGAGCAAGGTGTGTTGCTTACCTAAAATTGATATAAGTATTATAAATGAGAAGTGTATTTCAAGTAAAGTTTGACAAATTGATGACAAAGAACGAGATTATGTAAATATCACTTTGTAGGTATGTAGACATGTAATTTTTTATATATACATAGCACCACCCTTATAATGCAAACACACTCAACTACTAGCACTAGAGAAACCCTGTGTCGCGGGTGCCATGGACACACACATAGACAACCACAAATTACACCCAAACTCACGAGAGAAATAACTGTACGTCATACAAATATTTCTCCCGGCCCGGGAATCGAACCTGGGACCTCTGCGTGGCAGTCCGGCATGGTAACCGTTCGGCCACAGAGGCAGTTCGGCCCTGAAGGTATTATTATACTGAACTCGCAAGGCGCCGTATGATCTCAGCGTAAAGTTGGACCATAGAGCACATGTGTAGAAGCTCTGGCAGTATGCTCTAAAGAGTGTGAGCTTCACTCCAGCCGTACACCTTGTGAATCTATGAGCCAACATATTGCCTCGAACCGACAACGCCCTGCGCTCTCTCTCTATGTCTCCCTCATCCTTTAGGTCCTCTGTCACAATATGACCCAAGTACCTAAACTGTGCAACACGTCTCAAAGGTACCCCATTTAAAAGTATTGGTGGTACATAGGCGGGTTCTTTAATTTTACCCTTAAACAGCAAGAACTCATTCTTTTTCTCGTTGTACTTTAAACCGCGTTACATAGCATAGGTCTCACAATGACATAAGTCGTCTTATACCTCTAATTGAAGGGCTGAGCAACACCATATCGTCCGCATAGCTAATGTTATTAACGCTTGTGTTGTCAATACGGCATCCGACATGCATGCTGCTCAGCTCCCCAATCAGGTTATTAACAAACAAATTAAAAAGTCTAGGTGAGGTTAATCCCCTTAAATAACGCCACAGCTCAAAACATACTCATCAGATTGAGCATTTGCCCATTTTACCACACTCTTTTGATTACTATACCAATGTGAGAAAATACCAACTGCTTCAGATGATATGCCCTTCAAGCTTTCTTCAATTTTGTCCAGAGCATATCATATGACACTAGGTCAAATTATCGGTATGGCATTGAAGAGTTTTTCAAATGTGTTCAGTACCCCAAAATTTATTTATTTATTGTTAAAGCGAGTTAGAGCGTTTGAGCGCTGCATCCTAATCGTATTCGTTCGGAATCCGAGACCATACAAATATAGAAAACTCAGACCCACTTTGGAAGTCACTTGTGCATTAAGTCCGATTCGAAAATGAGAATATTACTTATACACCCAGAGATAAAATGATCCCTGTCATTCCACGAATTCGGAACTGGGGGTCTACTGTCGATCTCCATCCGACATCCGTCCTAAACAATTACTGCCAAATAAGCAATTCTTGACCAAATGAAAAGACGCGTGATGCAAATGTTGCTTCATACTTGACACTTGTCGTTTAATTTTATCGAATATTACTTATTTGACAGTAATTGTTTCGGACGGATGTCGGACGGAGATCGAGAGTAGACCCCCTGTTACGAATCGGACGTAGTGCACAAACGCTCTTAAATTGTGAACGTTTTCTTAATAGGGACATACCCATTTGTCATCGAGGCGTATGAAATTTCTTTTTTTTACTGTCTATTTTCTAAACATTACGAAATATAGTCATTTTTTAAATGGCAAAATTTTGATAATTATTTTTGTCGTTGAAAAGATGACGTCAGTATTGATCCCATTTAAATTTGAAGAAAATATTCGACCTCTAAGGGTGGCAAACTAGGGGATGCACTTTCCGGTAACCGATTGCAATAAATCTTGGCAAATCGATGTAATTCCCCGAACTTTGGAGGTCGGTTTTCTTTTATGTAAAACGTTATAATTATTTAAATGGCTAAAGTATTTAAATACGTGTAAGTACCTGTAGAAACAACTACAATTTTATTAATATATAATTGTAGCATTAGAGCTCCTTGTGAAAGAATTCGCTCAGGGAAGTACTGCCACTTTACCTATTTCCGTGTCCGGTGTTGAAAAGTATGGGTGCTGGTGAAATTACAGGCACATGGGACATGGGACAATGTCTTATGTCTCAGCATGACGTGCGCAGTAGCAGTGCCCCTCAAATCTTTGCGGTTTAAAGCTCTGAGTGGCACTGGAACTATAATGGGCAGGCGTATAGCTTACCATCAGGCGCACGACTGGTGCGTCCCGTCACATGGTATAATAAAAAAAAATTGGAACAAGAATTTCTAGCAAATAGTTAATAGGAAAAATAATTTGTTGCCAATGTGCTTAAATTTTTAATAAATTCCCAGAAGTGCCGGGATTTGTACAAGGGAATGTCCTTATTATTCTTTAGTTTAACTAATATAATCGCCTCAATTACGATTAATAATAATAATAATAATAATAATTCTTTCAGGTCTCAACTCCGACGACCTGGCAACGAAGACATCATCTGCCCGCGCTGCTCGTCGCATGCTGTCTCGTGAACAGAACCCACCAATCACGCTTATGGTGGAGGCTGGCGTCATCAAGCCATTGGTTGAGGCTCTTGAAAGAGACGACTGGTAATAATAATATCGCATATACTCATAGTTTGAAAACTTTGAAGTTATCTGCCAAATCATTACTGTGACAACTGCGCCCTGATTGGCCAGCCTGAATTCGACGTGAAACAATTGATTACACACGTCAATTGTTTCACTTCAAATCGACTAGTTTGAGTTGAGCTTTGCAATAATGGACGAAAATTGAGAAATTATGTATTTAATTACCGATGAAATGTGATTCCGTTTGTTTTGTAATTAGATGTTTGGCTGTTTTTCTCACACCACCGAATGGAACAGCCCCCATTGTTAGAGATATTATCTTTATTACAATAAATACAGAATATTTTTGGAATATACGGAGACGTACACACTGGTCAGTTGTTGGCGCTGTACTATTTCAGTTTTCTGATTTGTGATTTCAGCGCAAACGATAGTTGATATTTGAAAGTGATATAAGGCCCATTTGCCTGATGACTTGCCAGGGATGGATGGCCCTTATTTCGTCTCTGTATCTATACTCGATGTATTTAATTCATGTCTTGTTGGTTGTCATAAATAAATAAATAGAGTAAAACATGTATTTCAGCCCTGATCTTCAATTTGAAGCAGCATGGGCAATCACCAACATTGCATCTGGCACTCACGAACACACCATGGCTGTCGTTGAAGTAAGTACGCTGTCTTAGGGAGCTATCACACTTACTAAATTCTGAATCGGCTTGAGCTGGTCGTAAAAAACTTTATATCCACGAATAAGCGAAAACCGGCGGACACACTGATGAGGGGTAACTAACGTGACCATACGCCCCGCTTTTGAGCCTCCTGTCCCGCTGTCCCCAAAATACTTGACAATCTAAAAATGTGGCGCGAACCAGACTACATACACAATTTCTTTTTTAATTTAAGCAGCAGTAGAGCTCGTTGTCAAAGAATTCGTCCAGGGAACTACTGCCACCTTATCTATTTCTGCTGCCAAGAAGTAATGTTAGCATTACTGCATTCCGGTTTCGAAGGGTAAAGAAGCTGGTGGTCTCAGGGTGACGGCGCAGTGGCAGTGCCCCTCAGAGTTTTGCGATTTAACGCTCTGAGTGGCGCTGCAACTGTTATGGACAGGCGTGTAGCTTACCATCAGGTGCACGACTCGTTCGTCCCGTCACTTGATATTTTAAAAATAAAATATTAAAATTGTACTTTTCGGGAAACAGATAGAGTATTATATAAACAGATAAAGCGTTTAGTGCCAATGTGTGGTATATCAACGAGATAACGTCGTCTTTTACTTCTGCAGAATGGCGCAATTCCAAAACTAGTAAACCTCTTAAGCCGAGGAGGTGTCGTCGGAGAACAATCCGCCTGGGCTCTGGGCAATATCGCCGGAGACGGCCCCACTCCACGTGACTACGTATTAGCAGCTGGTGCGCTGCCGGCGCTGTTGCCTCTGCTGAATACCACAACTGTGGCGTCTCAGTTAAGGACTGCTGTGTGGACTTACAGCAACTTTTGCAGGTTAATTGTCATCCAGTCGTTGATATAAATTTTTTAAAATTAATTTCTACATTAATAACCAACCCAGTGCAGTGTGATCGACCCATACTGTCAGACGCGACATATTGCCCCGGTACCGATAGAGACCTGTAAATAGAATTAAAAACATTATGGAACACTGCGGGTGTCAGTAATTCATTTTTTAACAAAAAATGTCTGTGTTTATGGCCAGGCTATGTATACAGGGTGTTAAGTGTGCCCAGGCGGGTATTCCATAAATATAAGAGATATCAAAAAAATTTAAACTGATATAGAAAGTATGCTACCTAGTGAGGAATCAACATCAATAACTTTTTTTAAATAAATCTAGAAACATCCAAAATTTTAACATTGACTGCTCCCATACATTTAACATGACATTCCTATAGAGGCTTTAGTTGACCTGCTTTAAGAGGTAACAATAACTTTACAGATAACAAAACTACTATAAATAAAGTAATAAAACTATCTTAGAACTGAATAAAAATATAATGGTATTGTCAATTTTGGTCAAGTGCGAGTCGGCCATAAGAAGTGAATATAACGGATCAAATTTTTTTATTGCTGATGGACACAGTTTCATGGAAGGATCATTTCATTGTATTGGACTAAAAAATTCAGGGCAGTAGAAGTTTGTCAAATTTAAATAAAAAGTGTTTTCATACAAAATGAACATTTTATTAAATTAGACCAACCTCTGCTGTCCCGATTCTTTTCTTCTAATACAATAAAACTCGTTCTTATAAGAAACTGATACCAAGCATTAAAAAAAAATCAATTTTATTCATTTTACAGTGTAACTTGAAAACTGGTTAATAAATTACAACATGTTATTTATTAACCGGCTTTCAAGTTGCATAGAAAAAGCTCTTATATGCTCCAATAACAATGAAACATTCTACAATTCTACTTGAAGTAATTTAACACAGAAACAAGAGTCCGATGGTGAAGTTCGAGCTCGTTTCGGCCGCTCTGCCATACATCGCTGATTTGCTGGAGACGGAAGATCAGGATGTACTTGGTGAGTTATGGGTATTTTTTTAAAACAAAAGGTCAAACACTGGTGCTTATCGATCACTAGCGCCATCACCCTATTTGTTTATGGTTTAAAGACAGAAAAGAAAGAATCTCTCAAAACAGAATACAAACATTCACTTACAAAGAGAAATATACCCCCGGAGACGTAATTCGAGCCAAGTTTCCAATATTAAACAATGCTTGATTGACCAATGCAACTTTGAAACTGATATACTAAACGTCATTTCCTTAAGTCGTTATTGAAAATTTGAATTAAAAAAACTGGAGAAACCTTTTTCTTTGATGCTAACTATATTTTTTATTCTAGCCTTTAAGGATAAAAATGCAAGGTGGGTCGAATTATGTGTCCGGGGATGTACTAGATAAATAAGCTTACAATAACGAACAAATTCACGTTTACACAATGCTGTTGCTTAGACTTAAAATTTATCTTTTAAATTAACCATGCTAGACATGCATCAACTATAAGAAGTTTTTTTAATGTACGATGTGGTGGGGTGAGCGGTGGCTCTAGCACACATTCCTTGCAAACCCTCCCTTTTCCACCGGAGCCGCGCTAAGCGAGGCTACAAGAATGAAGTAATCCTATTGGTGGATTTTTTCCTCGCGCACCGCCTCGCTACGTCGCACACCTGTAGTGGAAAGGCTTCCATCGTTTTTCCTCCGCGGCCAATCGTAACTCGAGCCTGCCTGTCGGCAGCGGACGCGTGCTGGGCGCTGTCGTACCTGACGGACGGCCCCAACGAACGCATCGAAGGCGTCCAGACGACGCCGGCGCTGCTGCCGCGCCTCGTGCGCCTGCTGCGCCACCCGGCGCCGGCCGTGCGCACGCCGGCGCTGCGGGCCATCGGCAACATGCTCACGGGCTCCGACCACCAGGTACTGATCATCATCACGACTACAGCCATACCTTTCCTGCGTTACTTTTCTTTATAATGACCCTCCCTAACCCTAAGGTAACCTTATAAGTTCAGATTTTGACCCCAGAACCCCGATTCCGAACTCTTCTATGTCTTAACCGAATCATTGGATTGTATATCGTTCTCGAGTCGAAGGGCGCTTTCCGAGCTGTTCAGAACATTCGAGTTAAAACGATTCGGATACGATATCCTTATCCAACAACGTCTATGGAGTCGGCGAATATATATTATAAGGAAAATGAAATCATTAATCGACTTCAAAAAAGGAGGAGGTTCTCAATTCGACTGTATCTTTTTTGTTTTTTGTATGTATGTTACGCGATAACTCCGGTATTTGTGAACCGATTTTCATGATTCTTTTTTTTGTTGAAAAGGGGGGAATTCCATAGTGGTCCCATTTCATTTTGAAGAAAATCATCCACCTCTAAGGGTGGCTGTTCACGCATGAAAATTCATTTTTATAAATAGCGCCTAAATTTTACTCAAGGAGCAATTATTTTAATGGTTGATTTTGCTATTTCTCCAGTTCAAGATGTTTTTCTCTCAATATACTTTGAGTAATGAGAACCGATTTTTATTTTCTCCAGTGTCAAGTCCTGTATAGTGGCGAATTTAAGGATATTTCAATAAAACGTACTTTTGAGGTCGGTTTTTTTAAGTACTCTGTACTGATTTTATATACATTTTTAAGAGTTCAAAGGCCTAAAATATAGGAATGCATTAGTCTCGCATTAAAATAAATTAATAAAATAATAGGACGTTCACAGTAGGACGTTCGGTAACTTTCATTCGATAACTGTGCTCTGAATAACGTTTGTAGCCTTTGCCGGTCGAGAAGCTCGAGTAATCGTAGGTACGTGTGTGACGTCATTTCGGTTCGGTTTCGGACACGACAGTTCGACGTTCGAATCGATTATTGTGAATAAAAATGAAAAGAAATCGTACGATATCTAACCGAATGGGTCGCCAACAGAGTTATCGTAAGGTTCTAAATCAACCTGCAGAGCAGCCAGTGTACAGGGTTGTCACAGACCTCTGTTCTTGACTTCCGGTTCTTCGAAAGGCTAGCGCCTCGGGTGAGCCGCCCCGGGTGCACAGAATGATCGAGCCTAGATAAAATGATTCATAGGTAGCCTAGTAAATCGTTTATCTAATATATTACATTTGAAGTGATAACTGGCTTTGACATATACATAATTAATGCTGTAGAACCCTATGGACAGCATCAACGCCCCACAACTGCTTCCTAGGTCTGATCTGGGGTTAGGACCTGAATTATATTGTCCCGGTACGGGCTTGCTCGCACAGAGATAATCTAATTCAGGTATAGATCTGACACGGTGTGCTAGAAGACGTCGGTTCGAATCCGGCCGGATCGAAGGAATTTTTTCTGAGTCTTCGATTTTTATACTAATAATTATAACAAACTAGTGGAGTAATTTCACAAAAAAAAAAATTGAATATCAATTCAGTAAAAATTTAAATACAATGAACAGCGACATCTCTGGCCGGGACTCGTAGCTGTAAAGGTATCTGTCTGAGTGACGAAATATCATAGATTTCTCATCGCTACGGCTAAAAAAGCAAATACAAAGACACGACGCAAGCACATAGAAAAATTCGTGAGGTCCGCTGGTTCGTTCCGTGGCTTAGTTGGTATAGCGTCTGGCACGGTATTCTAGAAGACATCGGTTCGAATCCGGCCGGATCGAAGGAACTTTTTCTGAGTATTCGATCTTTGTATTAATAATTATAGCACAACACTCTTTTGTTTTTCATGAACAAAATTTATTTAAATATCATGGTAGTATCATCATGATTTGATTATTTTTAACCAGTGACATGACAATTATAAAATTGCAGACGGACCGCTGTCTGCAAGCGGACTGCCTGCCCGCCCTCTGCACTCTCCTTCGCTGCGGCAAATCGTCTCTCATGAAAGAAGCAGCTTGGGCCGTCAGCAACGTCCTCGCCGGAACCACAGAGCAAATACAACAAGCTTTAGACGCTGGCGTTTTAGAGCATTTGCTCCATGTGCTGTCTACAGAGGACATTAAGTAAGTAAATAATAAATAAAATATTAGACAACATCAGATACGTTGCTCGTCGAATCCGACTGGGTTGAGCAGCTTTCGGGGAGCTCCGGACGTCTTCTCGTCCGCAATACTGCAGTCCTTGAAGACAAAAGTCTTCAAGCAGTGCGTGTTGCCAGCGATGACATGCGGCTCTGAGACGTGGTCACTTACTATAGGCCTCATAAAAGAGCTCGAAGTCACATCAGAAATTAGGAGATCCGAAGAAGAACGAAAGTCACCGACGTAGCTCGAAGGATTAGCAAGTTGAAGTGGCAGCGGGCAGAGCACATAGCTCGTAGAACTGACGGCCGTTGGGTCTCCACGAACAGGAAGGCGTTCAGTGGGACGGCCCCCTATTAGATGGATGACCTAATAAGGGCGGCGGCTAACCGATGTATGCACGTCGCGTCCGATCGGCTGGTCTGGAAATCTTTGGGCATGACCTATGTTCAGCAGTGGACGTCTTCCGGCTGATATGATGATGATGATGAACATCATATTGCGATTTAAAGCTCTGAGTGGCACTGCAACTGTTATGGACAGGCGTGTCGCTTACCGTCAGGCGCACGACTTCTTCGTCCCGTCACTTGATATTATAAATTATAAAAAATAACTCTTGTTTCAGATGCCAAAAAGAAGCAGCATGGGCCATCACAAACCTCTGCCTCGGTGGCACTCCAGAACAGTTGGACGCGTTGCTACAAGCCGGTTTCCTCGAGCCTTACTGCATGCTGCTAAGTTCACCAGACCAAAGAGCTATTATTGTTGTGCTAGATGGATTGACTAACTTGCTGCAGGTAAGAATTCTGACATAATGCTCTTAAAAAGAAAAACTTGGAATACTGAATTCAAATTCTACTCTATAATTTTTTAGTTCATTAAATATTACGATGTTCTACTACCATGATATTCATGGCAAAATACGTTTTAACTTAAATGAGCGTCCCGGACATGCGGGCGAGTTTGTCTTACCTAGTAAATAGAATTCAGATTCGCCTCGTGTAACTGCACGCTAAAGGTGGCAAATTAGGGGGCGAATCCGGCGTGACCGTCAGGATGGCTGGTCGCCTGTCGCATCTGGCACTGAGTGTATATTCAAGAATTGCTACCTATTTGTTACTATTTGCAAATGCAATTATAAACAGTAGCAATTCTTGAGTCAGTGCCAGATGCGACAGGCGACCAGCCATCCTAACGGTTATGAATCCGGTTTATTGGATTTCAACCAGTTTCCTGCTTCTCCTCTGGTGATTCACCTTATCGTTAGAGTGAAAATCTCGCATACGCGTTTTCACAGTTCGTTTTTAAGTACTGATTTTTTTTAAATGAAATTCTTATAAACTTCTTTTATTGAATTGATATTCAATTATTGTTATGTGAAATTACCACTCCACTCCACTGGTTTGTTATAGTTATTAATTCAAAGATCGAACACTTTGCCAACTAAGCCACGGAATGAACCAGCGCATCTCACAAATTCTTCTATGTGTTTGTTGTCGTGTCTTTCTATTTGGTTTTTTCAACGACTTTTTAGCCGTAGCGCCATCTATGAAAGTATTTCGTCACCCAGTTAGATACCTTTACAACTACCAGCCCCGGCTAGAGATTTATTTATTTTATTTATTTATGCGAGAGATGAGACGAGATGTCGCTATTCCTTGTATTTATATTTTTATTGAATTGATATTCAATTATTTTTATGTGAATGTTATTCCATTACTTTGTTATAATTATTAATACAAAGATCAAACACTCAGAAAAAAATCCTTTGATCGTTTCGATCTTTCTGAGTGTTCGATCTTTGTATTAATAATTATAACAAACTTAGGTATAAATTTCTTTCTCAAATAGAATAGAATATGTTTATTTTGGCATCACAAACGCAAAGAAAAACAAAATAATTAACATATTTACAATACATATTTTTAAGATGGAACATTATTTGATGGTATACATGTGACGCCCTGCAAGGGCACAGCAAAAAAGGGCTAAATTCATAAATCACACTATTTAATAATATTAAATTATTACATTACAATATAACATCATAACGTTAAATTATTATATCAGTTGCAGTGCCACTTAAAGCTTTAAATCGCAAAGATTCTTAGGGGCACTGCCACTGCGCCCTGAGACATAAGTTGACAAGTCCCATGTGCTTGTAATTTCACCAGCACACTTACCCTTCTATACCGGAACGCAGTAAAATACCCAGTAACCAATAACCCAGTTTTAGTTTATTGAAATTGTTTAATGATATGTCAGCTATGCATCGTTATAAAGTTCCGATAAGTCGAACACGTTAACTAATTTTAACTGTTTTTAAAAGAGAATTTTGTGCTCTATCTATTGATATTTAAAACAGATATTTGACCGTTTGACACTGCGTTTTAGTTAGTGGACGGCAGATTATTGCTTGGCGCAGAAATAGGTAAGGTGGCAAGCTGTTTCCCTGGACGAACTCTTTCACAAGGAGCTCTACTAAAGAGCTTTAATGAACCATTCATTTCGGATACATTCATCATTTGTTAGTAAAGACTTAGCTAATGTTGAATTTTAAATATTTATAAAACAAAATTATTCATAGGTATTCGTTTGGCAGATGGGAGTTCAACGTCAAGCTAAGTGCAGGTCAAGTGGTTTTAGCAGCAGTGTAATCAAATCCCCGATACAAAACAGTGCAATCCAAAAAACTATAGTATGTCTTTTTCGAAGACTGAGTAAAATGATATTTGGTAGTAGGGTTGCTACCAAAACATTTTAAATAGGTAGATATGTAGTTGTTGTCGATAGTTTTATCGATAGATTGTGAAAGAAGATAAAGTGTTGCCAAAAATGTCTGAATTGTGAATATTACGACGTTCTAATGATGACTAATTGCGCTATTGTTTTCTTTGTTCTTATTTTGACAGTCGGCCTACTAGTATCGAAATCAATTTTTATACATATACATTTTAACAAGAATAGCGGGATTTGATTATCTATATTGAATTAAAAGAAACTTTACCTCCTCTTTGTATATTTCATAAACATAGTTCTAAATACAGTGTATTGTATATATGAACTTACAAAACTTGACAATTCAAATGAACTTGTGCTCAGTAATTGGATGAATAATGGGTCGAGGATGATTCAAATGAAACAAATTCGTCTGTTTATTCCATAAGCGTGACCAATATTCTATCGATAGTCGATAGAATATTTATTGACTGCAATCACTAGCTGCTCGCAAGCGGGCAACATCATGACGCAATGAACTGTCATTTTACTCCGTCTTAAAAAAAGACAGACTATAACTGCCTCAGTCGGCGAAAGGTTATATATTACTGGTTATGAATACTGGACTACTACGCAGAGGTCGCGGGTTCGATTCCCCAGTCGAGAAAAATATTTTTATGGCCTACATTCTTCTCTAGTGAGTGTAGTTTGTGTTTGTTTTTGTGTGTGTTCATGGCACCCGCGATACAGGGTTTCCCCAGTGCTGTGCTATGATGTGTATGTTATGATTGTTATTCATTTTGTCCAGGCGGCAGCAAAGTTTGGCCAAGTGGAACCTCTCTGCATCAAACTGGAAGAGATTGGCGCATTAGATCGAATTGAAGCTTTACAGACGCATGAGAATGAACAGGTAGATTGTTTTTTTCGTTTTATAATAATGGTGACGACGACGATGGCACGGACAATTCGCCACCAGCATTTAACACTTCTTTTTCTTTACATAAAACTAAGTCTATCGGCATTGAAAAAGAAATAGTCAATTTTATTCATTTTTTTATGAGAAACATTTGAATAAATTTGACCAACTTCTGGTGTCTTGATTTTTTTTCGTTCCGTACGATGAAATGATCCTTACATGAAACTGAGTTGAACAGCACTAAATCATTTTTATGGACAACTCACTGTTGACCAAAAAATTTACTATGCCAAAAAGTGTTTTCACAAGAAAAGCCTTAATGGTTCCTAGGACAGTTTCTTGGTATCTTCTATGGTTTCGGATTTCCCCATACTGTAATACGGATTTCCCCATTTTAAAAAATCATCATCTTATTTAAGAGCTCTTGTCGGTGTGGCCTCCTCCACTTCTCACGGTTCATAACCAGTTCTTTGACCTCTCTATAGCTGTTCACTTTGATATTCTTTTTTATTTGTTCACTATACGCCATTCTTGGTCTTCCTTTCTTTCTTTTCCCTTCTATCCTCCCCTCGATTATCATTCTCACAAATTCGTCGTTATGCAACAAATGTCTAAACGTTTTCCACCTTATCATCTCTATTGCGTTCAAAAGACTTCTCTCCTCCCCAACCCTTTCCAAAACTTCCTCATTATATCTCTTTTCAATCCATATTTTTTCCATTCGCTTCCAGCACTAAAAAATACTTTTTATAAATTTATCACGCGTAAAACTTATTTTTAGCCGACTTCCAAAAAGGAGGATTTTTTTCGTATGTATGTTACGCGATAACTCCGGCACCACATTTGTGAAACGATTTTGATAAATCTTTTTTTGTTGGAAAGATGGTACCTCAGATGTGGTCCCATTCAAATTTGAAGAAGGTATTCCACTTCTAAGGGTGGCAAACTAGGGGATGAATGACTTTTCAGGTCGGTTTTTTATTCGTTTCAGATATACAAAAAGGCATTATCAATTTTGGACAACTATTTCTGCGACCAGGAAGATGGAAACGCCCAACCGGAACAAACGGAAGAGGAATATCAATTCGGGACTGCTCAACCACAAAATATCAACTTTTAAAACTAATTGTGGCATATTTTTTGCATGCATTATTTCTGTTTAGATGGAGCAGCCACAAAATTTCATTTAGAATATAAGAAGAGAAGTATGTTAAAGCTTTAAAATTTTACATCGCAGAATTATTTTGTATTATTATTAACTGAAGAATTGTCATAGTAATCACAGCCATAAATATTGACAACTGTGGCATAATTCCAGATGTATGATTACAAAGTTTTGTTTAATGGTCACAAAATGTAAATGACACTATTTTTTCGGATCGCAAAATCGCACATATTTGTTTTTCCAACATTTTCTCAAATAATCTTTATTTCCTAGGTAAGCAAATTACATTTGAAATTGGACATAGTTAAACAAAAAGGATCCAATTCGCAAATAAATCAAAATATGAGTTATATGTACCAAACAAATAAATATCTCTGGAGTTACATGACATGAGTGACAAATACTTTTAAACTGCAAACTGCCTTATCTCGAAAGTGACTGGATGTGCATTGGATCCTTTTTATTTAACTACTTTCAGTTGTTACTTTGATTAAATTCATTCATAAGGCAGATTCCCCTGAGAAGAATGAGCAAGAAACCCTTTGTAAATAAACATTTGTACACATTTATAATATTTCAAATATCACATGGACACTACGGTCATTCTCGGATACGTGACACACTATCTAATTTCAGTGGCAATTTTTATTATTTAAATATTCGTTTTTGTATGAAGCTTCATTTGCATCATGCTTCTTTTAACTTGGTAGAGGATTATTTCTAGAGTCGGCGGTCTAAAGCACATCGGTCACATCGCTTATTTAAATTAACCTCCTAAAGCACATGAAGTCAAATCATTTTGTTATTTCATTAATTTGTAACTTAAATTCTCGTGGCGTCCGTTTCAAATTTATCATTCTCTTTAAGTCTTCTAACATTATATATAATTAAAAAAATATGTGATTATACAGGCTGCATATTTGAAAGTGGGACGTACTTATAGAGTGCGTTATATTCCTGATGCCTGAAACCAAAGAGATAATAAACTAATGAACTGAAACTTTACAAAAAAATACTTTTTATCGACTACTACGAGTGAACAACATTAGTTATCGAAATCTATGCACATCACTATTATTGCTCCGACGCAACGGTGAGCGGGGGTGGGGGCGCGGTTTATTCCTATTTACACTTCAAAACACATTTGTTGATTTATTTTTTGTTCCATCCCATATCCAAATTCTATTTTAGTCTATGTTAAGTTGTAACATGATTTACTATGACATGTATGAATATGTCTCACTTTCAAATACACAGCCTGTATATTAAAAAATGAAGCACTTTTTTGACTTTTAGTTCGTCGACCTTAGATTTATTTGACAGTAATTGTTTCGGCTGGAGAACGCGATAATATACATGAAATATTGAAATTGCACCTCGTATGTAGAATAAACTGCCTGCTGGCATTCGTGACAGTCCACCGGTGGCATCTTTCAAAGACAAAAGAGCACTTCCTGTCGAACGCGTTAGATAGCTAAATTGGTAACAAATATATAAACTAGTAATTTGTTTAAATTATAATGTATATTCTGCTTACGTATGTATTTATGTATATAAAATTCATGTAGGTGCGTATGTCTGTCATATGTATATATCATCACCTATTTTTTATTATTCACATTTAAATTTTGGTTTTATTGTAGAATAATTAGTCCCGCATACTTCATTTTAGAAGAGATCTCTTCTAGAGATAAGCTCACCTTTGTAAATCGCACAGTTGATACAATAGTGTATTAACTCAAAAAGTGTATTTTTTTGAAATCGATGAAAAACGAATAACTCACTTCCAGCGAAATATGATTAAAATTTATGGGTTTAAGTTAGTACAATTTCCTTGTCAGATATTTTTAAATTAAATAAAAAGGAAAAAATCATTTCATATTTTTGAGTAAGGATTGTTTTGACCAGAAAAAGCTCACTTAAGGTTAAATAGATATCTTTCGATTGTTTCTTACATTCTAACGATAGGTTTATTGACGTGTTGGGAATCAAATTTCCGCTTCAACAATGATATAATCTGGAATTTCACAAATTTTGAGTTACACATTATTGTAATAGTAGTGCAACATCGACTGTGAACTGACAACCGGTACTATCTCAATTTTGACAACTTTACAATGACTTTACAGGTGAAGAAAAAAATTGTCTGCGTCATTTATGTACCATCTAGTTTATTAAATGAATTTTTTTTCTGTAAAGTCAATGTAAAGTTGTCAAGATTGAGATAGTACCCATTGCCAGTTCACAGTCGATATGTCCTTAGCAAATTGTTTCATGTGTCTATTCTTTGTGCAATAAAGAATTCGACCCCTCCTACGCAAAGTATCGTATGTCGAAATTGCCAAGTTTACAGGGGAGCGTTTTAAAGTTCTGAATTCGCTGAAAGAGTGGTCACCATAGATCATCTAACCGATATCTAGGATTTTAGAATACTCTATGTGAATAATGAGCTTTGCCGAATAAAACTGAGAAAAAGTCACGTGTTATGTTCGTTTCAATGAATTCAGAACTTTAAAACGCTTCCCTGTAAACTTGGCAATTTCGACATACGATACTTTACGTCGGAGGGGTCGAATTATAATAAAAATATTGGCACGGAAATTTGTTAGGGAACATTATTATATATTCCGAGAATGACCGACTACCTGCAAGAGCTAAACAGGTCACTATCTGATATTTGTTTTTACAGATCTCATGGTTAACCGTGACAAATATACGCGATTCTTAATAAGAAAAGATAAGTTTCATATGCAATATGCAACAATCGCGAAAACCTAACTGTAAAATGCACCTCTCATAGAAGAATGGCATAAGTGGAGTTACGACAAAAATGTTTATCGCTCCATTAGATACAGAAAAATATAACCCACATCCTCTTCAATTCTTGTAACTCTATCTACAATATTAGTCGATAACGTCGTAACTCCATTTATGCCATTCTTCCATGAGGGGTGCGAAATTAATCATTCAATTAATCAAATTATAACCATTATGATGTAATTTTGATACATTTGTTTGTCACACTGTTAAGACAATAGTGTATTAACTCAAAAAGTGCATATTTTCTGAATCGAGGAAAAACGAATTCCTCGCTTCCCTTGAAAAATTGTCTTATACTTATGACGTACTTGTCAAACATATTTAAAAATCAAATTGAAACAATATATATTTAACAACAATATATATTTTTGAGATAGGACTGTTTTGTCCAGAACTTGCTCACAAAAAGTTGTCTAATTTTGAATTAAGTAGAAATCTTGTGTTTCTTACAATATTCTAACAGTTTTATTGACTTGCAGAGGATCAAATTTTACGTTCAGAAATAGTATGATCTTGAATGTCACATATTTTGAGTTACAACACTATTATGATAACTATGCGATATGTAATTGTGCTGTCACAAAATTATCAGGATAAAGAGATTAACACATACAAAGTTGAAAATAATTCTAGCTTAATTTCAGTAGCCGTAGATCAGATTATTTACTCGACCATACATTATCAGAGCGGGACAGCGATATTGCTCTCCCAACTTACGAGCAGTTACTGATGTTTAAGCAGTCGATAAATGCTATCGATATAGATGATGTGCAATTTTGTTGGAATAGTAAAAGTAGGAATGGCAATATAGAGTATTAGTATTACATTTAACTAATAACATATAGACTTCCGGACACGTAATTCGAGCCACCACGCATTTTCAGTATTAAGTGCCCTAAGCGTAAACAATGTTTGATTGACCAAAAACTATTATGCAATTTTGAAACTAGTATACTAAACGTCTTTTCCATAAGTCCTTGTTGGGAATTTGTATTTGCAAAACCGGTGAAAACTTTTTCTTTGATGATAACACAATTTTTGTATTCTAGCCCTTTACGATAAAAATGCGAGGTGGCTCTAATTATGTGTCCGGGAGTATATTACATTCTAAAATTAACACTTAATTTCATTATCAACATTATTCCGGCACGTGTTACATTGGCTCCTACACTAGGCATAGCCTGTCCCGTAGGTAACCAACTCAAAGGTGAGCTTACCAATATAGAAAGCGATATGGATACTATAATCTTATTCCTATTCATTTGCCCAAGTTACATTATCACAAAAATATTAATTTTGGGTGTATCTGATAACAGAGTCAACATTATAACGTATTAAAATAAAAAAGGTTGCGACATTTGGACAAAGAAATTACTGGAAGGTACCACACCCATTTGTTTTTTATCGATAACGTGCATGAGCATGCGTCAGGTGCGGACGTCACTAAGCAGGTGAGAGAGAGAGCGCAATACCGTTGTCCCGCGCCGATGATTTATGACAGTCTTCAGCGAGTCTTAGTATAGATAATTTATTTGCCAGTCAGAAAATATTATTGCCACATCGTATAAAAACTTTTAAAGAAATCTGGCTTAATTCTATTTTCAAGTTTCATAATCATAATCATAATTATTTAAGTAAAGATTTTATTGTATATTGTAAGGATTTTATAGACCACAGATTCGCAAAATTCATTTGGTGAGAGGACAACCGCGTCTTAAAAATTCGAATGTAAATTTATAGCAAGTTTCATTAATCAAGCAGGCCTTGATGCGATGAAAAAGGGTAAAATTATCGAGAACTGAAAATTGTGATACCTATTTACATTAATTTTTTTTGTGTAGTTTGTAATTTAAATTTTTTTCCTTAACATTGCTGTTTTATTTCAAATTTTATTCATCCCTAATATCGCCCCACACAAAAAAACAACGCTTCCGCAGGACAAAATAAGTATATTCCATTCTCACGCCATTTGGCCGGAAATTACCAGAGACATCACTCCTTCGTGTACTTTACCGTACAATTTGGCACCAGCCATCGAAGTGTCCACAGAGACTCCGTGGGATAAGTCACTCTCAGCACGTTGACACGCCAGTCTAGCGACTTGCATGAAAGTGTTTTAACGCCATTGCTTGGCCCGCATTGGCATGAGGCACATTATATATTAGTCTATGTGAGGCACTGCCGGTGACGTCTAACATTGTACATCAGTTACAAATTGAAAGCATATAATGTTCATACTTTCTGGGTTTGTAACAGGATTCAAGATTATCAAGATACTTTTATATTTATTCTGATAATTACCATGATAGTTATCTGATAATTGTTATTCTAATTATCTGACAAGTATTATTATAATGATCTGATAACTGTGATAATTATTATTGTAGTTATCCACGCTGATTCATAGTTCTCTTTAATTTTTGACTAAAAATTACAAATAGTGAGCACATTTTGAGATTGACCTTTGACACATTTGGATACATCTCTGATACGAACTTGTGACAATGTGGGCACAACTTTGTGACGGGTGGCATTTTGTTGTTCCAATTAATTTTATAAATATCAAGTTGTCACTTTGAATGCTGGTTTGGAATAGCCGATTGGAATAAAACAAAAGTGTTCATGGTATAATTATTTATTGAGACAAAAGAATGAACAAAAAACTTAAATGTCAACTGCGTTAAACGGACCCCGCAACGATCTCACGTGCGGTTATCATCTTCATCTCTGTGTGGTCTTAACTTGTTGACAAATTAGTAGAATCAATCATTTAATCGGGATACAAGTGGAAAGACAATATCGAGCAAGGTTTTAATTTTACTGTACATTTATTTACTATTTGTATCATTAACACCAAAATATTGTGTGTTATTAAGTTTGAATGGTTCATTATTCTATTGTAATTTATTAATCTAATATACAACCCAACAAAAATATCTACAGACCTGTCATAAAGTTACATTCCACAGGTATCTGTCTGTGTTAAAATTCAAATTAATATTATAAATCGTTTTCATGCTTAACCAAATTCGATGAATTTTGGTACAGAGATACTCGGGACCAAGAAGGATATAAAAAAAATCTTAAAGGAGATGAAAGTTCATATGGAGGACCAATCATTTCTCAAGGAAGTAGCAAGCTTCTCAAAGTACTTATACCATGCAGACAAAGCCGCAGGCACGTTATTGTGAGAACAGACCATGCAAAAATATAGTGTTTAACGAATGAGGTCATACGGTCCACAGACATTTTGGCTGGGTTGTATATATGTTCATGAGATACATTTATAGAGAAGTTAAAAACTATTTTTTAATATTAGAAGCTATGCCTTATTCTGCTCCTTCAGCTTTTCTAGTTGTTGTCTGAAACAAGTACAAATAGATTTGTTTAATTATTGTCAGATTAATAGAGCAATGGGTATCGGTCATTTTCATACTAATGTTCAATACCTAATTCCCAAGGCAATTTCTATTATTTAAATATTCAAGTATATTAGTGAGTAATTATTAAATAATATTTCACAATACAGTACACGAATAATAAATATATTACACAATAAAAAATCAAATAATAATGCCAGAGAAATTCAATAGTGAACACTAGTCACAGAATAGCCGGTATAACACTTCTATACTACATAAGAGGTCTTACATTCGATTCCAACCACCTGCACTATGGCCTCCCTGGATTGGATTGATAATGTTATTTTGAGTAGAAATGAATTGGACCGATATATAGAAGTGTAACGCATCAGCTTAGACTTTGTGATTGTATTTTTAATACAAACTCGGAAGTCTTTCTTGATACTGGAATCCCTTGGTGCACTGTTTTCTTTGTCACTGAGCTTTAAATCGCAAAGATCTTAGGGGCACTCCCACTGCGCCCGTCACCCTGAGACATAAGTGACAAGTCCCATGTGCCTGTAATTTTGCCAGCACCCTTACCCTTCTAAACTGGAATGCAGTAATGCTCACATTACTGCTTGGCGAAAGAAATAGGTAAGGCGGCAGTACTTCCCTGGACAAACTCTTTCACAAGAAGCTCTACTGCTACAAAAAACAGGCACATTCAGTGTTTGTGTTTAGTTTGCATTTAATGATCGTGACACATGAGTTTGGATTACTTTTTACAAATTTTCAAAAATAAATATCTCGAAAACTATTAATGTTCCAAATTAGAAACACTCTCCATGCATTTTTGTATGAAATTTACATGTTCATATTCCCCCATAGAACCCCCCGTTCCGTAATTTCCCGCTCACTAGGGTTAAGGGGGTCCCCCACCCCTACATTCGACAGCCTGTAATGTAGTGCTGCCAAATTTTTCGTTCAGGAAACCAAAAAACATTTTCTAACCTTAATTGTTGATTGAAATCATCTTGCACGATATCATCTTCCCAGTTATCTTCCCAAACTGACACGTCCTCATCATCAGCGTCTTCTGTGCCCCAATCTGAAGTAAAAAGAGCCAACTTGTAGGTGAACATTCTCGAAAACAGAATTAACGAAAATGCGCCATGACTTATAGACGTAAAATACTCACTTTCCGTGGGAAATTCTTCAAATTCATCGTCTTCCTCCAAAAGTCCAAGGTCTACTTTCTGTTTATCTGCCATTTTTGTGGAAAATTTAGTGAGGTTTTAATTAGAAATCGAAAAACAACTGTTTGTTTAGCTCGTATGACGAAGCGAAAAGCAAATTTTTGTTTTTGACATTTGTAGTGTTGCCCTAATTTACCAATCGTTCCCCAAAATTGGATTTACCACACGCCCTCTACAGTAGTCATTGGAAATCGAAAATGAGAACAAGAAACAAGAACAAATCTAATATATTTTTTAATTATTTATTCATTTCATTGTAAAATTTATAGTTAATAAAACAGTGTGCATAAACTTATATAGATTTTTCGCATATTGTGCAGTCGTGATCTACACAATATATAAAAATTTGAATACATGTGAAATATGTAGGTAGTTCAGTTCTATTGTATTATTTGAAATAGTATTAGAAACACATGTCAAAAATCTCTGTAGTTTAACCAGTTTGTTTTACATTTCTTTTAAAGGCTGATTCATCTCTTCCACTACTTCCAGTAGTGATTGGTGAAAGATTACTACTTTGCAATGAAACAACTGAAGCGAAACTGGAGTCATAGTTTTAGTTATAACATTTTCAAAGTGACAGACAGGTTCTTTTTTTTTAAAAAAAACGCGATTTTTTCTATTAAGAAATAAACTCACTGAGGCTTGAAACTGCGTTACGCGGGCCCCGCGCGTGTCCATACTGAGGCTTGAAACTGCGTTACGCGGCCCCGCGCGTGTCCATACAAAAATGACACGCGCGTGCCGCCCGCCCGGGCGCCCGTCGCGTGGACCTTCCGTGCAACGGGGCCCGCATGCACGCGACGGGATCCCGCATCCCGTTGGACGGATACACGCGCCGAGCCCGCTAGCGGTAAACACGCGCGTGCTTGTTTAGTTCAAAACACTATCTCGAACCGACCTCACGCGCGTGCCAGCGCATAAAATACCATAGAAGGTATAATAAGAAATAAAAATGTGTAATGTTGATACAGAAAGGGTGATTGTAGAAGTTCAGTGTCGTCCTGCAATATGGGATCATTCAAGTGAACTTTATAAAGACCGGGACGCTAAATCAAAAGCATGGCTAGACATTTGTAAAATATTGTTCGTACTACGTACTTGTACGTACGTCAAAATTGTACTATCGAAACTGCGTTCCGCGGATGCCCGCGCCGAAGCACGCGACGTGCACCCGGGCGAGCACCAGACGTGTGGCCCGTAACGGGATGCACGCACGGGGGCCCGCGTAACGCAGTTTCAGCCCTGAGACCGGCACTACAATCGTTTATTTATTACAGAAAGAATTTCATTATAAAATGTTAAAGTAAGTAAGTGTTAATTAAATTTTATTGAATTGATATTCAACTTCGACCAAACTTTGATTCAAATCCGACCGGATCGAAGGAATTTTTTCTGAGTGTTTATTCTGAGTGTTCGATCTTTGTATTAATAATTATAAGTAAGTGTTGTTGTAAAAAAAATCATATAAAGAGATACAGTAGAATGCTTAATTCAGAAAAATTTAATTGAAACTACTTAAGTGAGCTTCTACTATAAATAGAAATATTATTCAGCAATTTAATAATAATAATATCATGATGATAATATGATGCTTTACTAGCATAATTTTCAGGTATATTTGTGAAAATACTTCACTAGTTTGTTATTTTTATGGACACATTGATCAAACACAAAAAAGTTCTTCTATCTGACTGGGCTCGATATAGTGTTTATTGCCATGTAGAGATCACTGCTATTAACATTTTTGTATCAATAATAAAAAACAGAGAAGTTTAAACTTTAGAGTAAGTATATTTGGCTGTAAATCTTTATAAAAAAGAAAACAATTTCATGATTGATTTACACACATTTATTAATAGTCTTAAAATACAGTCGCATATAATAGATATACTTGAAATCGTTAAATTTCTAACAATAACAAGTAAAAATCTTAAACTTAAGAATATTATATCACAAAGTATCACATAGGTATGTGTTCAGACTACAAAATGGATACTATCACTTGCTTAAAATCTAACATAATACATCATTACAAAACACGAAATAGTTAAAAAAAATTTGAAATAAAGAAAAAATACTCTATAATAAATTGTAATGCACATAAACGTGAAAAGTCATTATTGTTTTAAGATAAGGGTTTACAAATACCCAAAAATATTTATAATATTATGCTTAATACCTAATATAACAAAATAGATTTTTGAAAGATGCATTAATGAAATCACCAAAAAAAATATTGAAATATTTATGACGTACACAACACATGTAGTTTTAGTATACCTATAACTTTAAGGATCTATATTCATACATAACATCAATAATAACATAAAAAATTAGGAGTATTGTAAAATATTGACTTATTTTAAAAAATCAGCCCTAAGTAAGGCACAATGACATAAACTCCCACAAACTGTGCTAAATCTTCTCAACTAGCAACACCAAGAATATTTTAAAAAAATCGCCGCTTAAAGCAGCAGAAGGAACGTGACCTATTCGGCCAAATCTTCAAAACCTTTAATTACTACAAAAAAGAAATTCATTTGCATTCGAAAAGCAAGTAATGATGCAAAGTTTTGGGCACGTCCAGTTTTTTAACAATTTTAGGAAGATTCGTGCGGAAGAATTTACGGAAAAATATTCTTGTTTGTCCTATTAGAGAAATAGGACTTTTCGCTTTCAAAATCAGTGCTTCTTTCTGAGCGGGAGTTAGCACAGAGTTTCTTTTGATCATGCAAAGGTCAAACGCTTCGGCAGCCTCTAGAAGTAAGTAGAAGATGTGCTGATATTCTTCTGCAGTCACGTTCTGGAGATGATTCAGGATGCCATCCGGGTCACGGAACTGAGTTTTCATTATTACCTGAAATATTTACGACATTTATTTATTTTCTATTTGGTTAAAAACAGGAGGAGGTTTGCAACTTGCAATTTGATTGTATTTTTATGTGTGTATGTTACACCATTACTTCGACATTTGTGATGCAATTTCGATGTTTCTTTGTAATGGTTCCATTTAAATTTGAAGAACATATTCCAATTCTAAGGGCGGCAAATTAGGGATTGAAGTTTTGGCTTTGACCCACTGTTGGTTAACTGATTCAATAAAACTTGGCAAATAGATGTGGTAAGTATCCGTTTTTTTTTAAAAAGTTAAAATTTTTATGTTTTAAAGAACTGCCCGTGAACCTACTTCCTAGGTTATAGAGTCAACTCTCATTAGCTTAATAAAGATCTTCAGTATTGCTAATCAAATTAGCAATACTGAAGCTATTATAGAATAGCTAAGGCTGATTTGCAGTTTAATCTATCGGGGGGTCGATTCAGAAACTTACGATAACGTACTAAAGAAAGAAAATAACATGAGCTCTCAAATTATATTTTTGTAATGTCATTAAAATATATATATAACCGTCATTGTGAATAAAAACCGCCGAAGTATTTTAATAACCGGCAATCTATCTCACCACCGCTCCACATGTCTTTCAACCCTGACATTGGCAAAATCGTCGCGCAAAACGACGCCGACGGAGCCATAGACACAAAAGTTGAAGTTGATAACGTACTATTTCTTTTCATTTATATTCCCGATCGACCCGAACCCGACCGACCCGAATCGAGCGTCAAACTGTCGTATTCGAAATCGAACCGAAATAACGTCCCACCCGTACGATTACTCCAACTTCTCAACCGGCAAAGGTTACAAAGGTTATTCAAGAACACAATTATCCAATGAACGTTACAGAACGTCTTATTGTTTACAGAGCAAGTAATAAAGTCTGGTTTTTGTTCAATTTTATTAATTTATTTTAATGCAAGTCTCATGCATTCCTGTATTCTAGGCCGTCAAAGTCTTAAAAATGTATAAAAGGATTTTCATTGTTCTTGTAATCTTATTTCTTTTGAACTCGAATCGAATGTTTAACTCGAAAAGAATCGGGTTCCAGGTCCGTAGACAGGAGGCCCCCAATGGCCCCCCATTGAATTAAGATACTTACCCTAGCGCCATATCTCAGCAGCATAGTAATGATCTCGGCACTGGGCTCAGTGTTACTCGCCAAATATTCAGCTAGGGCGGGACGGAGCTGCGTTGCATCTTCGTCGTTGTACACCTTCAAGTTTGGATCGGCACCACTTTCCAGAAGGATCTGGAAAACCAAAATTTTAACATTGTAAAGTTATTATAAGTAACCGCAATGTAATGAAAACGTTATAGTTTACGAAACATTACATTATAACAATGATTTTTTAATTTATTATAAAAATGGACGTCAAAATAATGATAAAAAATTGCAGTAATTTGGACAACGTCAAAAATTTTTCGAAATGGCCATCACGTTTAAATGGCAAGCACTTTTTCTCGCGAAAAAATGTCAGGAAATTAGATAATTGAAGAAAACTTAATATGTAAGGTCTGGCAGTATGGATAATTAATTAGATGAGGCGTCTGTCCTGAAGGACGAAAATTTCTACTATATTTCAATTTTAATAACGTCAAAATAAATATACAAGTATCAAAATTAATCATTTAAAAATTCTGATACTGTATAGTAAGTAACAAACATTTTATTAGTCAATAAGTTGATAATTGCTCAAGGATTTTCTCAAACTTCTTATTTTATTGTTTGTATTTGTTCCAGTTATTTTATTTTACTTTTTGTATTTGTAATTTGAATTTAGCTTTTATTTAATTTTATCATTATAACTTTTTTATTGATTTTTAAGTTGGATTATATTACTTTGACATTAACTGCATATATATATTTCAATTTCATTGTAATTTGTTATGATAAGGGTCGTTGTCTTCCGAAATAAATTATTCATTTTTTTATTTAGTTTACTAAATCAGAGGTCCCTAGCTTAACATATTATTATTACTCACTTTAACGATTTCCTTCCTATTATTGATATTGTCGGAACAGGCTACGTGTAATGGGGACCCGATCACAGAGCTCGATGCATTCACTTTAGCCCCTGAAAGAAAAAAAATAATCATCTCATGGTCCATGGACAGAGTACAGCCCTGTGTTGGTAGAAAAAAAGATGTATTGTATTAGACAACATTAGATACGTTGCTCTGATCCCAAAATAAGTAACTAAATCACTTGTGTTATGGAAATCGGAAACAACGACGGTACCACAAACACCCGGACCCGAGACAATATAGAAAAATTAGTTTTTCTACATTGGCAAAGCCGGGGATCGAGCTCGGGACCTCAGAGATGGCGACACCATGAGAACCGATATGTAAATCTCTCAACCAACAAGCACATGTCCGGGCGTGCATGGAGCACAGCTGCCACCTTTGGGATGGCTTTGCCACATACCAACTGACCATCTCGGATTCAATCAACAACCGTGCCAAGAGGCTTGTAGGTGACTCAGAATTGGTGAAGGCGAAGCTGTAGAACCTTAAACACCGCTGTAAAGTTGCCTGCTTATCGGTATTTTACAGGATGATATCACGAAGAGTGTGCGATAGAATTACAAGGTATAATTCCGCCTTCCCCTTTTCATCATCGGGGGACCAGACGTAGGCTTGGGTACCACCCCTATGTTGTATTGTTCCATATTTATATGGCGAACGGCTATGGAGTGGAATTCCCTGCCTGCAAACTTGTTCCCTGTACGTTATAACTTGGACCTTTTTAAGGCGATGAATAGGCATTGTTAAGGTGTGCATGCTCGATTGTCGACCTCATCGTCACTTTCCATCAGTGAGAAAAAAAACAAAAAATGCTATATTATGTATATTGTCCCGGGTTTGGTTATTTGTGGTGCCATCATTGTTTCCGATTTACATAACACAAGTGCTTTGGTTACTTGCTTTGGGGTTGGAGCAACGTATGTGTTGTTGTTTAATATTTATTTTATGTTTATTACGTCATTTTAAGACGCGATACAACCTCAAACAGTGAAAGTGTAGTATCAATTACTTTGGAAGAAATATATAGGAAAATTGATGATATACACTGATTAGTACGGTGTGAAAAATCGATTTTCAAAAAATTTTCGCGGCAGAAAAAAAAACAGTTTTCGACTTCGAAATTTTAGAAGTACTTTATATTAACTGAACTAAATAGAACAAGTATAGCACACGGCACACATTTGTTTTAATTTCGTTTGTAAAAAATAAGTTCTGAAAAAGCTAGCCCCTGCCGTTCGACACGCGCAATAAATTCGAGCTGAGGCAGTATAGACTCTTAAATAAAGATGGGAAAAACTGCTTATTTTTTTAAACGTTTAAACGTTATGCTTTTTTAAAAAAAGCGTGCTTTTTTAAACGCTTTTTCACTTAAACGCTTTTTAGTAAGCTAACAAAATGGTTTAGAAAACTTTGAAGCGCATAGACTTTTATGTTTTGTGTGTTGTGCTTGCAACGTTGTGTCGATAGCGAAACGCAAGAATAGACAACTAAATTTATTAAGATAAGTAATTTTTTTAGTAAAAAATCTAGTTATATTTTTGTTATGACATAACATTATTATATTAACATTTTGTTCATTGGCGTTTAAAAGCGTTCAAAAAAATAAGTTGTTTATCTTTTATAGTTGTTAACCGTTGAAATGGAAAAATTGCTTATTTAAAATGCTTTTTAGTTTGACGCTTAAAAAGTCGTTTAGAAAAACGTTTAAGCGCAAACACTTTATGTTTAAAAACAACGCTTACGCTTAAAATGAAAAGCGTGCTTATGCACTTATTTTAAAAAGCAAACTTTTTAAGTGCATTTTGTTTAAACGCCCACCTCTACTCTTAAACACAAGTTGCCTTTTGAATGCTAAAACATTCGAGTTATCATAATCATCTTACCAGCTCCAAGTAACATTTGCAGCATCTCCACGTCACCCTTCAAGATGCACAGGTCCAGCGGGCTGGGCTTACTCAGTTCTGGACATTCGTAGTTGACGCGAGCACCTTGTTTGATTAACAGGTTTACTACTTCTGTGTTACCTTTGGAAAAAAAACAGGCTGAAAAATGTTATCATCTTGTGAACACAAGCAGGCACCCCCGTAAAATAAGTTCACGTCTTGTAAAATCAACAGAACGCTAGACCTTATACTTTCGACTTAAAAGTATTTTTTTTATTATACCAGGTGGCGGGACGAACAAATCATGCGCCCAGGGATAAGCAACAAGGCTGTCCGTAGCAGTTGCAGTAGATCATTGCCCTGAAATATAAGTTGACAAGTCCCATGTGGCTGTAATTTCACCAGTACCCGTACCCTTCCAAACTGGAATGAATGCTGGGCGGCAGAAATAGGTAAGGTGGCAGTACTTCCCTGGAGGAACTCTTACACAAGGAGCGCTATTGCGTTTAGAAGTACTTAAAAGTTATTCAGCCCCAAACCAGCTTGACAACTTCGTAAGGCGAATGTCTTGTATTATATCTTCCCTGCTCGGTGTTTCTCTTTTCTGACAGATAATTAACCAAAATATAACTTAAATGGCAACAATGTCAAAAATTTTAAAGGTAATTAAAAAAAAGGTGTCAAAAAAGGTCGTTTCTGTAATTCGCCCTACGGTAGTCTCCAGCAATAACTCCATTCTAAAAGAATATTGAAAGTTTAGTTAATTATGGGCCAGCCCGTCTGTAGAGCGTACAAAAATGAAACTGCCTGTATGTTCCAATGGCATTTGGAACGGGTTTTTATTTTATGTTTTTTTTTTTGAAGGACGCTTTGCAGTTGGCCGCTGATGGCCGTGATGGCGCCACCGGAAGAAAAGGGCGAGCTGAAGGCTCATAACCCGTAAGCACGTTTTTATTTGTTAATCACAACACAATGATACCATTTCCGGGAACAACTTAACAGGGCGTTTTAGAAAATTGCATATTAAAATGAACCATATTATGTCCTTAGACCATTGACGATAGCCTCAGTTGTGCAGTAGCTAGATATCCTCCGGTCCCTCCAGTGGTGTAGGTTCCTGGGAACTGGAGAGACGCTTCAGCGTCGGGAAGTGAGTGTGCCTTACTGTACGACACCAAACAGGAGATTCGATAGTAGACTTTAGAGTCGACGGCTTAGCGGTAGTAACCGTTAGTAGTGCAATGTGCAACGGGAACTGAGCATGCTTACAGCTTAGGTAAAACAGGAGGGTACTGTACGTGCACCCGGGGCGGCTCACCCGAGGCCACAGCCTCTTGAGAACCGGATGTAGTCAGTGACAACCCTGTACACTCGCTGATCTGGGGTTAGTACCTGAACTTAGAAGGTTCCTGTACAAGCACAGGCTGCAATGCCGTTCTCGTATACCCTAAGAGACGGTAGGAAGGGTCACTGTAATCAAAACTTATGTAGAAAGGCACGGGGGCTGTTCTTACACCAAGTCATAGACTTCAATCATAATTTAAAGTCCCAACGTTCTGTTGATTGTATAATTATGGCAAAGAAAGATAAGCCAACTTCCATCGGTTCAGCGCATCAATAGCGGGTTTTACACAGACACTGTATCAAGCGTGACACAGCAATCGTGTGTGATTATTAAATTAAGTGACTGAGACGGACTTTGTTATAAAAATTTACTTTATTTCTTATGCCAACCTAACTACATGGAATACGAAATTACAATCAACCTTTTCTAACTTAAAATATGTAATATATAGAAGTTACAAAGCGTTGTCAGCTTGTTGTCAGTCCTACTTAGATGGGTGCTGTCGCGGCGGCTTGTCAGGGCTGACGAAGCTGGCAAATGAGCGTTTCTTACACTTAACACCTCCCTCCGCAAGAGAGAAATTATCTGGACGTTGCGAAGTAGCCTCTAGATTATTTCGTCTGCAAGTTTTGTGTAAATTAAATTTCATACTTAGTCCTGTAATAACAATAACTTTAAAAATTATATAGATACTTATAGTCCATACACTGATTTCATCACTAATAATGTAGTTCTTTACTATCTCGTCGTCACTGACACTGAACCTTGCACTGTTTGATAGTGTTCGGATGTCACTGAAGTCTACTCCTCGCAGGTCAATCGTCCTTTTTTTTTCTTGATTGTTGTGTAGTGGTAGCTCAGGCATCTGCAGCACGGGTCTTTGGAAGCTTTGTATAGAAGAATTCGTTACTCCGTTAATATAAATATTACCAAATTGTGTCTCGCAACCTTGTGATGGTGTAATTATGTAGGTGCCTTGAAGATTTTGTTTGTGGGCTTCTTCCTTGCAATTTTCCGTTACTATAATATTGTTACGTGCATATAGTAGCCATTGGTCGTCTGTTAGCTGCTGGATCCTGAAGTCTTCTATGTGGATGAGTCTCTGATGGCATTGTGTATAGTTATTGTGTATAGTTATTGTTCTATACATGTTTCCTCTGAGTAATGTGCAAGTTTATTTTGTGCACATAGGAACCGTCTGTTTTCTATCTCGTCGCATGCTTTCGCTAACGGTCTGTAATTCAATCTATTCACCGTAAAGAAAGGATATTCAGGTATAATGGTGTGGGTTTTTTGAGAGGTTGGGTTATATATGGGAACAGGGACTATCTTACAATAAATATATGTGTTTTCATGTATAAGTGGAACTTCTAATACAAATACTAACTTACTATTATGTATATATGATTGTAAGGCCATACTATGTTCTAACTTAACTAGATTTTGTTTATTTACTGGATAAACTACCTTAGCATGTTTCTCCATTTTTAGTAAAATATTAAATAATTCTGTGGAATTAATAATAGATTGGTGTAGCGTACATAGCTTACTAAATGCAATGGCAGTTTCGATCTCCTGGATTATGTTATAAACGGTTCTTAAGTTATTTAATATTTGATTTAAACTGTTCATAATGGTAATGAGATTATGAAGTTGAGTCTCGTTATTTTGAAGTGATTCTAATTGCTTTGTCTTGAAACTTAAGTGTTTAACATTAAAATTAATATCGTCCGATACATTTACTAATTTGTCAAAAGCTTTTTGCATTACCGATAAACGATTTCCTATTGAGTGTTCCTTGTTACTAAGACTGCTTATTTGTTTATTGTTTACTACGTTGATCTGTGGGGGTTTTTCTCCACCTTTCTTTTCTCTAACCCTAACTTTATCATCCTTTATCTTATCGCTAATATACTTATACAGGATTTTTAGTCGTTTCCTATGATCCTGTAGGAGTTTTTGGTAAAGGATACTTGAGAATTGATTCAATTTTATTGTTGTTAGGCTTCAGTCCTTCACTCGTAATAGTGTGACCGAGGTAAAGGACCTCTTTTCCAAGGAAATGGGACTTGTCTAACTGTACTTTTAGGTTATTTAGGCGAAAACGATCGAATACGGCTCTGAGCTTGACAACGTGTTCCTGTAAGCTTTTTGAAAAAAATATTACATCGTCCAAGTAAACTAGACAATGTAATCCTTGTAATGCTCGTAGGACATTGTCCATGGCTCTTTGAAAGGTTGCAGGAGCAGTTTTCAAGCCAAATGGCATTCTGTTAAATTCTTAATGTCCGAATGGTGTACTGAAAGCAGTTTTTGGTCTATCGCTTTTTTCTACCTCAATTTGATGATATCCGCTAGCTAGATCTAATGATGTAAAATATAAGCTTTTTCCTATTTTATCAAACAAATCACTTATGTTCGGGAGTGGGTATTTATCGTCTACAGTGATCTCGTTCAGTCGTCTGTAATCGACTACCACCCTCCACTTCTTTTTACCTGATATATCTGTTTTCTTTGGTACTAAATGTACCGGTGCACTCCAAGGGGAGTGTGACTCTTGAATCCCATTATCTTCAAGCATTTTTTCTACTTGTTGTCGGATCTCTTCCGTCTGAACGGGTGGTATTCTATGGCCCCTAATAAAAATTGGATCCTCATTTTTTGTACGTATTTTGTGTTTTTCTTCATTTGTACACAATTTTTCTATCGCCTTTCTTTCTTCCTCATTCATATGTTCGAATCTCAATTTTGAGAGATTTTCTGTAAGTAAACTTCTCTATTTCACCAGTCTCTTCTATACAATTAACACTAACTAATTCTTGTTCTAATGGCTCTACTTGAAATGGGGTAGTTACTACTAAAGTTTGGGGTGTTTCGGTATTATTTTGAATCACCGTAGTAGCATAACTCTGTGTACACTAACGCGGTTGGCATTCGGATCCCAGTCATAAACTCTTTATAATCTAAGATTGCATCCCCAGTTAGAAGGTTGACCGGAAGTTTTACTCTCAATTCACTCCGGGCGGGCAACTTGTATGTTTCCCTCATTGGTGGAGTGTAAATAATTGGAATGCAAGAGTTTCTAGTAAATAACAGTTGATTTTTCAGGTCAATCTTGGCGTCCAGCTGTTTCAATAGGTCACTAACAATGAAACCGTCATACCTATTGTCGACATTATACACATAAAATTTATGACACTCTTCGCTTTTAAATGTTCGCGGCAATATCAACCTCGTTGCCATAAAATAATTTATACAAATAACTGCTACAACATGTGCATTAAGATTTTTAATAATTTACCAAGTGACATTAAATTACTACACGGACATAATTTTAAACTACAATTGACAAGATGGCTTATGACACATTGCTTCTATAGTAATAAGGAATACTTTGAATTTAGAAATATTTGACATTTTAATTAACTTCAATTACCTGTACCAATAAATTCCAATATATTTGCACACTGCTTGCAGGTTGAATACATTGTACCAATTTAATTTAAGACCTGTATATTTACTGTATTCTGGCAAATAAACATTAATTTAATTTAATTTAATTTAATTTAATTTAATTTAATTTAATTTAATTTAATTCAATTCAATACAATTCAATTCAATTCAATTCAATTCTATTTAATTTAATTTAATTTAATTTAATTTAATTTAATTTACAGGTACATTTATTACCTCACTATGTTTACTAGACGCGTGAGTGCTTACGACTTCAAAAGGCTTGTTTTCTATAAACTGTTTAAAGTATTCGTGAGCTACGCGAGGACTAATTAAAGATCTCGTACTACCAGTGTCTAACATAAAAACTGATTTTAGCTCAGGCATAAGTATATGGGGTAAGTTTATTTGATTACTGCAGTTTAACATTATTTTTGTTGCCGTGTCGAGGCCTGTATATAAAAATTTTCAACCGTATTACTTGTGGAAGGTTCGGGTTCGTTATAACAATGCGATGATTCACCAAGTGTCCACTGTACTTGGCTATCAGAATAGAATAGAATAGAATAGAATAGAATAGAAATCGTTTCTTACTACTACTATCAGTGTAATTGACAGGTCTAGAACTCGCGGTGTGCATTGTTACGTCCGTATTCGTACCTGACCCTGAGTACCATATGTTGCATTTTGGGTTACACGCAAATTGCAAAGTATACATTTTGTGGACTATGCAAATGTACTGGCCTAGTCTAGAATTGTGTCTGGAAGGTAAGCGACTCTTGCGACTGTCGATTATTGGAATTTCTTACTTAAAAAGAATTATTATTTGAATTATATATACCTTGAGAGTTTTGGTAATTTTGAGATATGTTATGCTGTATAAATGTATATGGTTGCCTTTGTGGAGTGTTTAATCCTTGGAAGTTATTTGTCGGTATATTTTGTTGTCTAGGACTTCTGAAGTTTCGCGTGAGTGGATTTTTAAAATCATATACTGTTTGAAAGTTCTGTTTTTCTAGGACAGCTTTCATCGCGTCTTCTAAAGTTGTCACACTCTTCAAACGCACCAATATGGTCTCTTTCACCAACTATGTTAGCTGCTTCCCCCGCCAATCTACTAGTAATTACATGAAATAAGTATTCATTTTGGGCCTCCGCTTCGCTTCCATACATTTGTAAAATATATTCACATTTTTTATAAATAATGGTATTTGCCTTGTGTCCCCATTGAATACCGGGATTATTTTTAACATCTCCGTAGGGACACGTATAATGCTTTCCATTTTAGTTTAAGTTACTTGTGTATAAAAGGAAAACTAAAAATAGAGATTGTTATTTAAAATAAGTAGAGTAGTAAACGAAATCTATCAAAATACGCTATTACTAAGGCTTTGTCTAATCCCTAATAATGCACATATATTTATAATAAGAGGTACATATAGGAAAACAGGGTACAGTGAAAAGATTTACTCACAGAACCGCAGCTACTCCCGTGTCTCCTCTCTGGTGAATTGTTTTGAATCTCCTTAGTCGGTGGCTCTCGATCGCAGGCACTCTGGATCTCCGTCGTCTCGTTCGTCAATTAAGTGACTGAGACGAACTTTTTTATAAAAAAATACTTCATTTCTTATTCCAACTTAACTACATGGAATTCGAAATTACAATCAACCTTTTGTAACTTAAAATATGTAATATATAGAAGTTACAAAGCGTTGCCAACGATGTGTTGCTATGCGGCGGCTTGGCAGGGCTGACGAAGCTGGTAAATGAGCGTTTCTTACACTTAGCACGCGCGTGTAAAGACGTTGGAAGGAAAAGGGAAAACCACGCGTAGCGCTCAACAGTCGCGCGCGCAATCTCGCACTCCAGTTTTTCGCGGTCTAAGTCTAAGTTCGGTTATTTATTCCATAGGCGTGACCAATGTTCAATCGATGATCGATAGAATATTTTTATCGACCGCAATCACTAGCTGCACTCTTTTACTCCGTCTTCAAAAAAGACAGACTGTACTTAAAACCGTAAAACGGTTGATATTATAATGAATGGCGCGTACGACAACCTGCGCTCTGCAACGCGAGTGCACCGCGAGATTATGCGAATGTGTGCGTCCGAACCAGGGCTGTTACTGATGCATATTTTTTACACATATCCGCTGATACGGATGCCGATGTTTTTGACCTTGTAGGCGACGCACTACATTTTAATTAAATCTTTATGTTATCCCAGAACATATATTACAGTTAACGTACGTAAAATAGTAAAACTAACGTAAATTATAAAATTAAGCTTTTTTTTTGTAAACATCATTCGTTCGTTTAAAAAAATAATGGTGCCACTGATGAGCTTATTGTACCTCTTTTGCATTCGATACCATTTTTTGTCACAATACAATTCAGTCTGTCGTACAGCGCCACCATCGGTGAAACGAAGGAGCTAATAAGCTCCTCAGTCGGCCCCTTTTCTAATCGTGTTGTTATTGATTCCATCTCCTATAGAGCTTAACATCAACGGATGCTAATGCGGATGCTGAATTTGTTTATTTAAAAAGAAACGCGAAAAATGTACATCCTTACTGAATGAAAAAAGCTTTCTATTTTGTTTGGTATTGCAATAAAATATTGTCTCAATGATTTTGTGACATTTATTAACTACAGATGAAACGGATAGCGATTTGTCCGGATACCGGATATTCGGCGAGCACCTAGGCCGTATAGCCGGATATCGGCCGCCTGATATCTGACCCGCTGCCGTAAACAGTTTACTAGTGATTGATCGATCAGTGAATGATTGCACTTTCACATTGATAAAAAAACATATACGTTTCATTGTTGTAGGTACACATTGTATTTGAAGATAGTTCAAATCGATCGCGTCGGCGATTCTTTCATTTAGTCATCTTTGGTCGTCGAAATTTAACAAAGTTTGCAAGAGTTTATAATGAAAAACAACCCTCTGAAGCTGGTCTTGTTTCGACTTCACCATAATTTGCCTTTATTGAAATTTTAGTACTAAATTTAAGTATAGCATTATGTAACTTCTTTAAAGTTCTTTCAGTTACAAGTAATAAATAGATTGTCAACGATCCTGTAGTTGCTGTTTATCATATTACTATCATCTTTATTCAATAAATTAATTTATTTGGCGTGCTGATTATGAATTTTTCTCAGTTTTAAACATCCGGTATCCGGCCAGATAGTAAAAATAGGCCGGATTCCGGATAGTTACCGCATATTTGTTTCATCTCTAGTATTAACATCTTCGCGAAAACAATCAATCTGTCTACCTTAGTCGTTCTGCAATTTTATCAAACTTACATTAAAAAAAACAGCTGAGCCGCTTTTTCGGCTTACAGTTGTTTATGGAAGGTTTTGTAAATTATTTCAGCGTGCCTTTAAGGTCATGTCACGACTAGAATGCTGATAACAACGCTGATTGGAACACGGCGTGCGGCGGGCGTGCACACATACAACTCTTTATTTATTTAATTATTTTATCTATTTACTTAACTTAATATAAATTTATTTAACTATGGATCAATGGACCAAATGCAATAAAACTTGTTTTTGAAAACTATAAAGATCACATACCGCTGAGTACAGCATAATGCAAAACAGTCCTGTAATCATTCCTGGCGTCCGCCATGGCGTTTACGTCAGCTCCGTGGCTGATGAGCAAGAGAACTGCATCCATCCCCTGAAATAGGAGAAGATAATTAGAAATGTCAATCTTCCTCCTCCGTTCGGTCGCACACAGTTGCCCTTTAAGTCGGTAGCTATGTCCGGACATTGTCGCAGGACACTGCTACTTGGGCTGGGCGGTTTAACATGAGCTTTACTATAATGGACGAAAATTGAAAAGTTACATATTTAATAACCGATGAAATGTGATTCCGTTTGTTTAGTAATTAGATGTTTTGCTGACAGCTACAAAAAAAAATTATTACAATAAATACAGAATATTTTTGGAATATAGGGAGACACAACCAGTTCAGTTGTTGGCGCTGCAAATGAGAGTTGATATTAAAAGTGATATAAGGTCCATTTGCCTGATGGCCCTAATTTCGTCTCTGTTTCTGGTTATATACTCGATGATAGCCATATGTGGTCATACGTCAAAAGGTTAGACATCACTGTCGAATATGGAAGGAAAACTATACCTAAACATCATTAAGTTTAAGTATATTTTCACTTCTTTTTTTCACCCACCTTCCTCTGCCTAGCAGCTTTCATCAACGGAGTCAATCCAGCTCTATCCCTGGAGTCGGGATTGGCACCAAACGTGAGCAGCAGCTCAAGATACTCAGGGTCGGAAACCAGGTTGATTTCGGCCCCGAAGAAGTAGCGTTTGTTTGGATCTGCGCCGTGTTCGAGTAGAAGACGGGCACATTCCTGAAAAGACAGCAACTGAGTGGAGACAAACCTATCAACAAATAAAATCGAGATTCGATCGATGGTTACTGACTAACCATTTCTGGGTTACGTAGACCATGTCTCAGACTCCCGATTCAACGTTTAATAATGCTTATACACCGTTCTGTACATCACTTACATAATGCTTATTCCTGATAGCCAATCTCAGAGGCTCATCACAAAGGGTGGTACGAGGAAACTTCTCGCCAGTATCAGGTCGGTAATCGACTGCTGCACCGCTCTCCAACAAGAGTTTCACCAGCTCCGTGTAGCTGTAAAAAAAGGACCATGCAAGGTTCATCACCAAAATTAAGAGTTATACTCTTGTCGGTGGAGCATCTTCCAGTTGTCTATTCTATAAGGAAGCTCCTTGACCTCCTTATATGACACGACACCGGCCTTTTCCTTTATTTGGTCTATGTAGCTGCGCCTAGGTCGACCTCCTCCCCACTTCCCTTAAATTTTTCCCTCTAAAATGGTCTTAAAGAAGTTGTCGTGTCGTATCAAATGTGCAATCATTTTCCCGCATCTATTCTCTATAGTATTCGTTATTTTCAGTAATCCGAAAGGTAACCTAATAATTTTAAACTTCTTGCTAGTTTTTATTGAAATCAGTTACCTAAAAGTGTAAACGAAACCGAATTCATCCCCTAGTTTGCGACCCTTAGAGATGAAAATATTTTCTCCAAATTGAAATGGGACCAATACTGAGGTACCCTCTTTCCAGTTAACAATTACTTTATTGTAACGACAATTGACGTATGCTTTGTGTTGGACTTACCCATGTTCAGCAGACAGATGCAAAGCACTATAACCACAATCATCTCTGGCGTTGACGTCACATCCTCGGACTAGAAGCAACCGAGTTGCTTCGAGGTGACGTTGCCAGATGGCGTAGTGGAGGGGGCGGAGGCCTTGGGTTACAGGCTCGTTTACCTGGGAAGAGAATTGGATTTTCATTCTGAGATTATTCTATTGCTTAGCACGGCGAACAAACATTTCTTTTAAGTCATCAACCAACATTCGTGGCGTATTATGGCACACTAAAAGATAGTATGCATCTATACTGTCAGATCCAAATTAAATTAAAAACGATTTTTAATACTAAAAACTTTGTGATATTCAATGAACTTAATATTACCTAAAATTATTACAGCGACATCTATTGTCAGCTGCTGGTAGCTAGATAAAGATTTAGATAAATTTATTTCAGTATAACTTAATCTAATACAATACAAGTAAAACAAATGTAAATAAAGCCATTATAGTATTAAAATAAATATTAAGAAGGGAACCTAAATTATACAATCTTCATGAACTTAATGTGTAATTGTGATGCCTAAGTCAAGGCGTTTTGCCTTCAATATACTTTGAGTAGTGAGAACCGATTATTATTATCTCCAGTGTCAAGACCTGTATACTGGCGAAATAGGAGATATTTCAATAAAACTTAGCAAATTGACGTAATTCCACGTACTTTTAAGGTCGGTTTTTTAGTACCCTGTACTGAGATTATTAACTTGTGTGATCGACGAGATTTTTAAAGTACAATGTCAGTCACCACACGACTCTCGTTAAGCCGTTCAGATAAAACTTTCTATCCATATAATAAGAGCGAACAGGACGTTGTGCTTTTCGCATCCGCAGTCATAAGCGGAAGCGAAATGTGGAAAGTACTTTTTGCTCTTATTGCATAGAATAAAATACCAAGTCGCAACATTTCCGCCTTATTGAAGTGGAACTAGACCTCGGGACAAAACTTTCGTCATTTTCCGCGAATTTGGATTCTTTAGTAAAAAATAAGCAGCAGCTCCATACTTCGCACTAAATAGGCGATACCGAATATTAGTAAAGCATTTTTACTAACAATAAATGTGTATTATTTTACTTAATGTAACCAGCTTGGGCTTAAAAGTATTGAGTGGGTCACGAAGAAGCAATATGAAAATTACCGGACCATGGCAGAACAATGCTTGGGAACCACTAACATAGACAAAGCTTTTTCTTGCCAGCTTAAGCTGCTTCTGCGTTTATAAGTCTCATGGCTCCCTCTCTCTCTCTTTTATAATCGCTGGGAATTGAGTTACGCATATGATGGAGCAGCGAGCCTTGTAAGCCCACTGAAACGCCATGGAAAGGTGCCCAAGGTTCCGCTTGTGCATACCTACTACTGGGATATGGAGCGAACAACGCTTTCGGGAAGCTCCGGAATGTCTTTTCGTCCTCAATTCAGCAGTCCTTGAAGACAAAAGTCTTCGAGTAGTGCGTGTTGCCAGCGATGACCTACTATGGGTCTCATAAAAGAGTTCAAAGTCACTCATCGAGCTGTGGAGCGAGTAATGCTCAGCATTTATTTACATGATCGAATCAGAAATGAGGAGATCCGTAGAAGAACTATTAGCAAGTTGAGGTGGCAGTGGGCAAGGCACATAGCTCGTAGAACAGACGGCCCGTGGGGCAGAAAGGTTCCCGAATGAAGACCACGAACCGGAAGGCGTTGGTTGGCCCCTACTAGATGGACGGATGACCTGGTAAGGGCGGTGGGTAATCGATGGATACACATCGCGTCCGATTGGCTAGTCTGGAAATCTTCTGGACGTCTTCCAGCTGATATGATGCAGCTTCTGTCAATCAGCGTTAAGTCTGTCTTCCAGCTTCCACGTAGTGTCGCAACCACGTAGTATACTCTCTTTAGGATCAATATGATTCCGGATTTTACCATTTCCTCTGTATCTAGATAACGATTCTCCGATACTTGATTTATTTATTACATGGACAACAAAACAGATAACAATCAAATTACATTGATACAAATTAAATATGATATAACAGAGTTCTGTACTATTATAACCCTACTTATGTTGACACATCATTCTAAAGTAACAAGACAGAACTACTGATAATTTACTTATTTGCTTAATACTAAAGCGTCAAGGGAATGGGTGAAAATCTATACAAATGCAAGTTGCTTTACTACTCGTTTAAACACTCAAGGATCTTGGATTAACAATGTCCAAATCGATGTTTTTCATAGATATCTCGATGTAAAGCCGACATATTCTTACAAGTCCTATGTCCACAAGTAAAACGTCTTGTTGGGTTTTCTAGGTGTAAGGAAACCAGATTCAGTATGATCAAGGTATTTCCTGTATGAAAGAAAGAATGAAAGAACTTTGTACCTTAGCTCCGCAGGCTAGCAAAATGCGTATTTCGTCCAACGGGACCATCCTGATTATGGAGTCCGCCAACTCGCGTTGCAACGACTTCTCTGATATCACTTCGGAAGGCATGATTACTGAAACAATACAGTATTGATAGATAGATAATACACTTTATTGTTCAAAAAAACAAAAACAGTACATAGACAACTTAGAATTAATGTGTGCAAAGGCGGCCTTATCGCTGAGAGCTATCTCTTCCAGGCAACCTTTGGGCAGAGGAGAACTGAACAGAGACAGGAGACGTAGTGCGCCAGTAATAAAAATTTAAATGCAAGATTAAAAACTTGCACTATCTATATAGTGACCATAACATTATATACCTACATATGTATTTATTTACACATACAAATATTATAAATAATATGTATTGATATTTCATATATTTCATAGATTTCTCACAGATGGCGCTACGGCGATAAGTTCGTTAAAAACGGGCTCATTCGTGCGGGTGCGCAAGTCTTGGCATTTTTCCTTTCACATTGCAGAAGCGGCTAGGAGCGGGTAGATCCATACGTCGAAATCGCAAAACAGACGCTAGACGCTAGCCACTATGACCAAGCACTGTGAAAGGTACGCTTGGACCAAGCCAATAGATCTACCTGCGTCCGCCTCGACACAGGCGCCGGCGCGCGCGTCCACTGTGACTAGGCATTATGATTTGTATTAGCACTAATAAATTAATGTAGGTTTGTATTTAGAATTATATACAAAAAAACATTACTGTAAAAAAAGAATATCTTGGTTGTTCTAGAAAAAGCTTCGAACTGAAAACACACAGTAAATCTTTATTCATGAATACAATCCTCGTTTCTCATTGAAATGTGCCTCTCGCTACGCTATTCTCCCACGGCTACGACTCTTACAGTCCACAACGAGCGTCTACGTACAAACATTTGATTTAGACGCACCCGCGCCCGCCGCCACTCTGAATAAGACTTAGCTCAGTTGGGAGAGCATCAGACACGGTATGCTGAAGGCGCTGCTTTGAATACAAATGCATTGAAATAATTTTTATTAGTGGAAACTAGTGGGGTAATTTGACAAAAAAAAAACCATGGTTGTAAAATATTATTATATTCAATAAACTTAATAATACCACATTCTAACCTTAGAATAATAACGCATAGAAACCTAGTCCGCACACGCTAAGTGAGGCAAATTGAAGCACTCCCAAAGGGCCTACACGAGCGGGCGGGCCGTCAGTGCTCAAGGTCAACTTGCACCGCGAACAGCTCCAGAATTTTAGCTAAAAATGACGAAATGTGCGGTAAATAAGTGTAAAAATACGTCAGACAAACATAAAATAGATACTAACATCACATTCCACAAGGAAGTAACGCTTCAACTTGTATTTTTATATAAATATTCACTAAAACCGGAAATTAATTTCGTTGCAACAAGACACGAAAATGCCTACTTGAATTTGATTCTTGCCTCACTTGTGACAGTTCATTTAATATGAAACTATCATTCTATGCGTTATTATTCTAAGATTCTAACCATGTTCTTTACACTGTGATAAATAATAGATGGCCGTCTTTAATAAAACAATGGTTCAAGGTTTCTAGTCAAGTGGTGGTGGATCAAGGTTTCTTTTATTAAACTAATCTGATCACGTGGTTGACCCTGTATTAAGGGTCACATATTCAAAATGACAACTTTGCAGATGTCAGGTTAAACGATCCGTTGTGCACTTACGGCGTGACCGAGTAACAAAAGTATACAATAAAGAATGTTTTATTTCCATTTTATCATTATAGCGATGCAATTGCTACGGACAGGAGTGTAGGTTACCACCAGGTGCACGAATTGTTCATTCGGTCACTTGGTTTCGTAAATAAGGTGATAATCACGGAAGAAAAAAATGGAAGTGCATTAAGCTCGATTACTACCAACACCGATGTCGCCAAAACTCACACAGCCTTCATTTGAAACACTACATAATCTTGGTATTGATTGGTCGTAGTTTCAAATTTAAAAAGAATAAAAACGACCATATTGCAGAGGTATAAGTTTTACTTTCGTTTCTTGTAACAAAAAGTATTTCGATGGACAGGAAATTGAAAATGTACTAAAATAAGGCTTTCCGAAGAGATGAAATATCACCACGGGTAATATTTGTGGTACAGCTATCATTTCTGCACACCAAAACAGCACAATAGCGCATTTTTCTAGGATTTTAGAGAATTTGCACGAAAGAATGACACAACCATACCGTACAAAGCTAAAATGGCGGACTGACTTCAGATAGGTCTTTCGCGACCTCTACTTGGCACGCGTCAGACGTTAAATAACCACTTCTTCTGTGGCGACATTATATATGTTTAAAAAACCGACCTCAAAAGTTCGTGGAATTCATCCATCCCCTTGTTTACCAATACGAATCATGAAAATCGGTTCACAAATGCCGAAATAATAGCGTGAGATTGTATTTTTTTTGTGTGTAACATACAATCTAATTGAGAAACTCCTTTTTTTAGTCGGTTAGAAAGGCATTACTTATGTGTGCATGCTTCATCGTCGCCCTTACCGGACTTTCCGTCAGGTGAGATGGAGATCAATTGAGCACTTAATTCGAAAAAAAAAGATAAGATGTCTCGTGTCAATTACGGAAACACACTTCTAAACTCAAAGCGTAAACCCCGTGTTGCCGCAGACTGCACCGTATCATAAGACGTAGTAAGACTACGCTAGAACAACAACGCATTATTACAACTCTAATTTATATTGTTCCAAACACGAGTTGTTTATTGCGTTGAAGATTCGATTACAATTCTACGCAATATATATTTAACGTTAACAAGCTCGTGTAGCGTACCTCATCATCATCCACAGCCCGACTTCACCTATTTATTTATAATTTATAATATATAAGCCAACAAAGATATGGTTCATCTGACGAAGATAGGAAACCTCCGTCTATATAAATACTTACAATCTTATAAGGGAGTCTATTTGCAAAGTGCAATCAATATTTTATGGTGGTTTCTTTTCAAGATAAATTTAATCCAGAACACGCGGCCACATTGCGGTACAAATGAGTAGATATTTTATTATTATTTTATTTAGTAGCAGTAGAGTTTCTTGTGAAAGACTTCGTTCAGAGTAGTACTGCCACCTTACCTATTTCTGCTGTCGAGCAGTAGTGTTACTGCGTTCTGGTTTTGTAGGGCAACCACTGGTGAAATTACAAACACATGAGACTTGTCAACTTACGTTTCTTTGCGATTTAAAGCTCCGAGAGACACTGCAACTGTTATGGTCAGCCACGGTCAAAGTCAAACATCATTTATCCCATAGGTAATATTTTTACACTAGAAAACGTCATTTTTTTAAGCTACTGCTCGTTCACAACGCTGACCTCCCTGAAACGAACGAGCAAGAGACTCCAGCTCTTTTCAAATAAACTTAAATGCTGTGGAATACACTTTGAATCATAATTGTGCGGAATCTAGACTCGTTATCTTTCCATACATCTTTATCTAACACGTAGTCTTCAATTTTGTAATATGACTTTTCAATTAAAATACTTTTTATGTAAGTTTTAAACTTAGGAAATGATAATCTTAATATATTCTCCGGAATCTTATTGTAAAAACGTATACAGTACCCCATAAAATAATCGTTTACCTTAGTTAAACGAAATCGTGGTACCATGAGTTTGGGCTTATATCTAAGGTTAATATTATGGACATCTTCTTTCTTAATGAATTTATGTATATTTTTACGCGAATAAAAAATATTTAAGTAAATGTAGTGTGATGCCACAGTCATGATACCAGTCTCCTTAAACTTTTCCCTGAGAGAAACCCGAGAACCTAAACGGTACACAGAACGAATCGCTCGTTTTTGCAACACAAATGTGATAGTGAAAGTAAATTATCTAGTAGTAGCAACATCGGTAAACTCATGTATTCTACGGACTGCGTAGGCATAGTGACGGATTTTCCCTAAGGCCACCCTAGGCCCGGGCCTGTGGCGGCCAGATTTTAGAGGCGGTCAATCGTGACAAAAAATTCACTGATTTTTAACAAGAAATAACTCAAAGTACCCAAATATTTTAAATGCTCACGCACATTATGACGGGCCGCACTGCACCGCATTGTATAACAATAATCTTCCTATATCATTTTCGTACATTTTATTTATAAAATATAGATATGTCTACCAGTAGGTATATGAATTGTGAGAAAGGGGCGGTTGGTACTGGCGACATGGCCTGGGGCCTAGGGCAGCCAAGATTGCAATCGAAGTCGATCTGACATCCACAGCGAAGAAGAACGAACGAAATGTACTATGTCCTGAGAACTAGTAGTCTTGCACATAGATCTTTGTTCTACGGATGAGTCGATTTATCTCTAGTCCAATACTAGTCGATTTTACATTAGGTAATTCAAATTTAATACACTTTGTCTTCTTGGCACTGAGCAATAAATTAACAGCTAACATTACACAAATAAATTACCTTTGAGAGAAAGTAATGTGACGGTGTAACCTCCCTACATCGTCATCCCACCTTTTTGTATCGCTTCTCTTCATTCGTATTGTAACGTTTTTTTCTTCTACTCGTATTTAAATTCAAAATTATGAATTGTTCCATTTTACCTCGCATTCTGAGTTTGTTTCGTTCCATCGTCACTCCCTGCTCGATCGCGACAGCGGACAGAGCTACTTAATTCAAATCGTCAAATTTTTTATCCTTTTCCAAGTTTTAATGATAATATTATAATGTAAAATCATGTGTCAATCGTAATAAATGAATAATTAGTATCTGTAATTCAGCATAATTTAGCCTGTTTAGGGTTTTTACTTACCCTTTACTTCTTGCACCTTAACGTTAATAAATTTGTGGACCGAAAGTTTCCTGTTTTACTGCCGTGAATCTGGTTTCAGCTTGTTAGGGTTACAACCCTTACAGTAGTTAATGTTGTCATAGTTAACGTCATGTCCGTCTGTTTTAAAAATCAAGGCGCGTCGCATATTACCAGGCCCACGACTTGTTCGTCCCGTCACTTGATAATAAAAAAAGAAAAATGATGTCTTAGTAGGTAGTACACAGACAAAGAATTCAATT